CAGTAATGCAGACCCGCCCCCCCCAGACAGGGTTTCTCTGTAGCTTTGGAGCCTATCCTGGCACTCACTCTGTAGCCTAGGCTGACCTCGAACTCACAAAGATCCGCTTGCCTCTGCCTCCCGAGTGCTGGAACTAAAGCCATGAGCCACCACCGCCCGGCCAGTAATGCAGATTTTAAAAAGGTTTTTTGACGAGTGTGGAATTGGCTTTCCAAGCTGGGATATCCAGGCGTGGGCCAGACCAGGCCATGTACCCATGGTCCTGAGCACTTGCAAGGGCAGAGTGTCTTCCCAGAAGACCTACCCTGATACCAGGCGAGGGCTTGCCCTACTCAGAAAGGCAGGCCTTTTCTCTCTTTTCTTCAGTGTGTGTGTGTGTGTGTGTGTGTGTGTGTGTGTGTGTGTGTGTGTGATATGTGTACGTGTGGGCACCCGTATGCATGCTAGTGTGTACACAGAGGCTAGAGGAGCATGTATGGTGTCCTCTGTCACACTCCACCTTAATCCCTTGAGATGGGGTCTCTCACTAACCCTGGAGCTAGGCTAGAAGTGGTCAAGTAGCTCCTAACTCTCCCTCCACAGAGCTTACAGGGATGTGTGGGGCTGCCCTCGCTTTCCCCTGGGATGTGAACTCGGGTACCTATATTTGCACAAGTGCTCTTACCCACTGGAGGGAACATCTCTCAGCCCCAGACCTTCCCAATCCATCCCCCATTTGAAACCCTGAGAGAGGGAACAGCCTCTGGGGCTGCTTGGAGCATAGAGGGAGGGAGGGTTCCAAGGCTCCATCATGGAAATGGAAGAGGGTTCTAAAGGGAAGGGAGGGGCCATGATCCTCCCCTTCTTGCCCTTCAAGGTCACTGAACTCTGTAGAATGGCAGGCATAAGTGACACCGTTGCAGTGTCAACCTCAAGGCCCTGAACCAGGCCTCAGCATTGCTGATTCTGATTCTGGGTGTGCAGCTGCCCAGAGCGCTGAGGGCTCCATCTCTCTCTCTCTCTCTCTCTCTCTCTCTCTCTCTCTCTCTCTCTCTCTCTCTCTCTCTCTCACCACACCCACCCCCAAGGTAAGAAGGGCACGACAGGGAAGAACTAGTTAAATGAAACCAGATGCTAACCTAGAAAAGATGCAGCCAGGCAGGCAGGCTCTAGCCTCTGTCCAGTGCCGGCCATCTGGGGCCTGGGCAGGGAATGGAATGGATATTCTCAGCCCACTGAGTCAGTCACTCAGAGCCTGCCTGGCTAAGACCCTGGGAGGGGCAGGGCAAGGCTAAGCCATGATCTTTGTCTTCCTCCTTCCTCCTCCTGCCTTTTCTTTGAGTTCTTGCTCTCTCTCTCTCTCTCTCGATTTCCTTTTGTTATTCTACTTATGTGTATGAAACATGTAAGAAGGTGATTACAGAGTCTGGAACAGAGTGTTGGGTCCCCTGAAGTTGGAGTGACAGGCAGATGTGAGCCATCCAACATGGCTGCTGGGAGCCAAACTAGGGTCCTGTGGAAGACATCAAACATTCCTAACTGATGAGCCATCTTTCTAGCAACCTCTTCCCTTTTCTTTTTTCTTTTCTTCCTTCCTCTTTTTTTCTTCTTCCTTTCCTGAACAGTCTTTCTACCTCAGTTTCTGTGAGGGCTAATCTCTGCTTGTGGCAGCAGCAGCAGTATCTAGGGCTCCTACAGGTTGGGGCTCAGAGCAGGTGGCTTCAGAGCAGGTGGGTCTGGAGCAGGTGGGTTCAGAGCAGGTGGGTCTGGAGCAGGTGGGTCTGGAGCAGGTAGGTCCGGAGCAGGTGGGTTCAGAGCAGGTGGGTCTGAAGCAGGTGGTTCTGGAGCAGGTGGGTTCAGGACAGGTGGGTCTGGAACAGGTGGGTTCAGAGCAGATGGGTTCAGAGCAGGTGGGTCCAGAGCAGGTGGGTTCAGAGCAGGTGGGTCTGGAGCAGGTGGGTCTGGAGCAGGTGGGTCTGGAGCAGGTGGGTCCAGAGCAGGTGGGTTCAGAGCAGGTGGGTCCAGAGCAAGTGCCTGGTACTTGGTATGTGTCTAAGTTACTTTCCCATTGCTGTGAAGAGACACCATGACCAAAGAAATTTGGAGAGGAAAGAGTTTATGGGGTTTACTGTTTCAGTGTGTTGTAGTCCACAAGAATCAGGGTGGTAAACATGGCCACTGGCAGACAGGCATGATACTGGAGCAGTAACTGAGAGCTGTCATGTTAAGACAACAACCATGAGGCAGAGAGAGAACCAACTAGAATGGAGTGGGCTTTTGCAATGTCAAAGCCCACCGCTAGTGACACACCTCCTCCAACAAGGCCACACCTTCTGATCCTTCCCAAATAGGTGCACCAACTGGGTACCAAGTGTGTAAACATAGGAGATTGTGGGTCCATTCTTATTCCAACCACTAGACACTAGATCCTGTCAGCAGAACAATCATCCTTCCTGCTGTGGGGCCTTTGTTCCCCACACCATTCTGATGCCACTGTGGTCCTAGTGCCAGCTTCCTGAACTTCCAGGGCCGGAAGGTGAAGATGCTAAGTCCCAGGTCCAGGTGCTCCCAGAAGTCTCTGGGTGATGACATCTCTTGGTTTTGCTTTTTGAGGAAGAATCTATATCTTGGGGTTTTGGACTCACTGTTTATCAGAGGAGAGGATGACTTAGCTTCTCATCTTCCTGTCTCCATCTCCCAAGTGCTAAGATTACAAGTGTGTCCCCAGTGCCAGGGTTACAGCTTCTTTTTGCTGTCAAATATTTATTTTTACTATGTATTATTGTGTGTGTGTGCATGTGTGGACATGTGTGTGCAGGAACCTATGAAGGCCAAAAGAGGGCATCATGGGATCCTCTGGAGCTGTAGTTACAGATGGTTGTGAGCTGCCAGGAATAGAGCGTGGATCTTCTAGAAGAGCAGCAAGTGCTCTTAACCACTGAGCCATCTCTCCAGGCCCAGTTTACAACTTTTAAAACAGTGTGTGTACTACCTAAGTCCCTCCTAGAAAAGGGCAGCATCTTGGGAATATGAGCAGATTCAGGCCTGGCCGCTCACCATGCAGCAGGAGAGCTAAGTCATGAGACAAGATGCTGGAGGATAGAAGGTGATTTTACTCAGGTAACTCCTCAAGGAGAAGACAGAGGACTCATGTCCAGATTTGGAGGTAGTTTACATAAGTGTCTGGTGAGTGCCTTGCCACAGCAGGGGATGGGTTGTTGCTATCTCTTGGTGGGCTGGCCAGTTCTGCCAATATTAAGCACAAAGATTGTTTCTTTGGCCATTTTTGCCTGATTCCATTACCAGCCTGCAGTTCCACAACAGATGGGCTAGAGGGGGCTCAGAGATCCTCTCTCTGGTCAGACTCAAGAACATAAAAGAAAATATCCTTCCTCTAATGACTACGGAAGGCAAGGCTAAGTGAGGTAATGAGGTCTGCCCAAGATCCGGTGCGGGGCTCAGAGAACATAGGGTGGGGGCTGTGCGGGCTTGGGACAACATCCCCTGGGGCAGTCGCTAGAGCTACCTGCCTGGGGAGGGGAGGAAGAATGTCAAAAATGAGAACTGGGCCTTGTACATGTTACCTGGGAATATAGTCTGCAAAGAGCTCTTTCCTGACTTGAGCATGGGCGAATACACCTTCCCTAGCTCCGTTGTCGGGGATTCATTTCTGAGCCCCGAGGCTGGGCAGGAGAAAATGGTTGGTAGTTGGAGCCCAGAGACAGAATCCCAGTACCCTGGTGCACTCTGGTGGATGCCTAGGTACAGGCAGCCTAGGCTTTGGATTGTACTGTCAGGACTCAAAGTCCGTAAGAACAAAGGGACTTGGGAGGTAGAGATAGGGCTACCCCATTGAGTTTGAGACCACGCTGGACTACATGAGAACTCAGCTCAAAAAGCAAAAACAAAACCAAACCCTAAACAAACACATAAATAAATAGAATGGACACCTGGTCTCTGGAAGATGTCTTGGAATTTCAAGGAGCAAGGCAGTTCCATCGTAGGAGAGTCAAGGATGATAAACAGGAGCAAATAAATGTCAATACAGTGTGATCGGAGTGGTGATGGGGACTCCTAGAAGTGGGCAGACCCCAATCAGTGGAGAGCAGAGGTTAACGGGAGGTGGGCATCAGTAGAGAGGACACACCCATGGTAACAATGAGAGGTTCTAAAACAGAACTGGGCCAGCGGCTTGGAAGGTGGACTGCCCTATACTAGAATTCAGTTGAGGTGAAATTAACATTTACCAAGCAGTCTAAATGCTTTGGTCTGGAGCAAAGAAACAGGATTTCCAAGGCTTCTATGTTACAGGTAAGGGATCTTCCTACAGACGGGAAGCAAGAGAGTTGTGCTGGCCTGCACTGATGGGGATTCTCCAATGATTTGGAGGAACTGGAAGAATAAGGTGTGACCTGGGTGACAGGTGGCCCAATGTGGCGGAAAACGGTGGATGGAAGGATGGGAAGGATGGAGAATTGGCACTACATCTCTAGTAAACATCCTGCATTCTAGGTTGTGGAAGCTTTGGGTGGTGGTGGACACAAAAGGTGCTTTTAGGAGAACAGCTGGGGGGTTATGTGGCTATTGATGCAGAAGGTAAATTCTGGAGTGAACGGAAAAGGCAAGAGGGTGAAGGGAAATGATGTCAAAAGATGCTGAGGTGGCCCTTCAGGAGAAAGGCCTGATAGAGTGTCAGGAGGGGAGCACTGCCCCAGAGGTATGGGGAGGAGTACTGATTGGCTGGAGGAGGAAGAGGCTTGAAGCCAGGTTCCCTGCCTTCTGAACTGGCAGGTGCCTGATAATTAGGCAGAAGCTTGCAGAGGCAGGGGTTGGGTGAGGGACTGAAACTGAAGGCCTCCCCTGCTCTAGAGGTTCTAGCATCTTGCCCAACAGAACTGTGTTCCAGGGTGGCTCTGGGGACTCCCCAAGGGGCCCATTCTCCTCCCTGCCCTGCCTTCAGCAGATCAAAGTTCCCCGGCTTTCAGGCCCTGCCAACCTTCTCCTTCATGTTCCCTTCTTAGGACTCACAAAAATCCTCACTCCTCAGCCATGGGCTAAAGATGCCATCAGGCAGAAAGGTGAAGGCGGCGCCGCCACCATTGTCACAGACATGGAAGCGCGACCGAGAGCAATCTCTGGTGGCAGACTTTGTACCGGTAGTGGTGGATCCTCGGGGACAGAACCCGGATAATGTCAGGTTCAACTTCTACACCTCCCAGTACTCGAATTCTCTGAACCCCTTCTACACCTTGCAGAAGCCCACCTGTGGCTACCTGTACCGCAGGGAGACCGACCACACCCGCAAACGCTTTGACGTTCCTCCTGCAAACCTGATCTTGTGGCGCACCTAGGTCCTTGGCATCTGGAAGTCCCCACCCTGCACCTTCACCCCTGTAGTCATGGGTCCTAGAAGGAAAGGCCTTTCATTCCTGGAGAGCAGTGTTTACCTGGGCTAGCCAGGTATGCTGCCACAGCAGAGGGGGCTTCTCAATAAACTCATCCCTCCTTTTCCTGGCCTCTAAGTGGATAAGGTTGTTACTTGGTGAGTGTATTCCAGTATTCCAGGGGGACCTGAAGGGCTGGAAGGTTTTACTCTCAGCCCTCCACCCTGGAATCCAAGAATATGCATCTCCCAGGCCCAACTGTCGGCCAGTGGTCACCAGCATTCCCATGGGCCACACTTGAGATGCCTTCAAAACTAAAGGACCCTGTCATTTCATGAGGGCATCCTACTCTCGTAACAATCGCGGAAGAGTGGAGACAAATACAGGAGATGACCCACTCTCTAGTAAGCCATCCCTGTAAAAATGACCCTTGTTTTGTTTAGACAGAATTTCATACGGTCCAGTCTGGTCTCAAACTTGCTGTGTGGCTGAGAGCGAGTGACCTTGAATGTCTGATCCTCCTGCCTCACCTCCCAAGGATGGGATCACAGACATGCACCACCACCACGCTTGTTTACTCAGGTTCATTCCCGCTAGACAAGGACTACAAATTAAGATACATTCCTAATTATTTCTGGATTTTATTTGTTTGTTTTTCAAGAGGTTTCTCTGTGTAGCCCTGGCTGTCCTGGGACTCGTTCTGTAGACCAGGCTGGCCTTGAACTCACGAAGATCCTTCTGCCTCTGCCTCTCCAGTGCTGGGATTAAAGGAGTGCGCCACCACCACCACCACCTCGCTAAGACTTGCAAGTCTTATGGGTCTATGGTCATGGAGAGGAGGGTGAAGGCAGAGACCAGTAAGCCTGAAACAGTGGCCTGAGAGATGCACGCTGACCTCCACATCTTACTGTGTTGGTCACTTTCCACTTCTGTGATTTCAGTGACTATGGAATTAGCCATCATGGCATTGCTTATGCCGTGGAATGACAATTGCCTCTACATGGCTTTTGTATGCAACGAGCCGGCCAGTGCTTGCCAGCAGCACACCTGGGTGCATCAGGCTGCTCTCATTTGTGAGAGTCACAATTCTGCTATGAATTCCAGTGGCAGCACATCTGGTAGAGCACAGCTCTGGCTCACGGAGGCTGAGGCTGGTGTAAGGAGGAATCTGACACCTTTCTCTGAAAAGATGGTTAGGAAGAGAAGAAGAGAGGGATCCCTAGAGAGTGGCTGTCCCAGGAAAAGAACCTGTGGTCCCTGCTGCTGACTGGTCACTCACTCGGCTCTAAGGCTTTCCTCCATGCCTGCCGACCCTGGTTGAGACTGAGCCACCAGCACCCCTTGTCCACTAGTTAGTGTCCAAGGAGCCAGTATGGGAAGGAATGGGGTGGTCATTTATCATGGCTCATTCTACAAACTCACCCTTGGCCTGCCCCGCCCCCAGACTGTGCCTGTGGACTGGGGCTTCTCTGGGCTAGTCCCACAGCCTAGCTTTCACTAGATCACAAGGGACAGAGGCCCCAGATGCCTATTCTGCAGCTGTACAGAGGGTGTCTGTGGTGCACACCTTTAATCTCAGCACTCAGCACTCAGGAGGCAGAGGCAGACTAATTTCTATGAGTTCAAGGGCAGCCTGATCCAGATACCAACTTCCAGGTCAACCAGGGCTACATGCTAAGACCCTATCTCAAAAAAACAAAAAACAAACAACAACAACAACAAAAACCAGAACCTTCACACACACACACACACACACACACACACACACGCACGCACACACGCACACGCGTACACACCCCCACAGACACACTTGCACACATCTGGGCAGCTCATTTCCTTTTGCACAAGCTTTCGGCTAATCTTATTATGACTTTCACATCCTGCATCCCAGACTTCTAGCCCTCTGTGGCAGGGTTAGGTTTGTGTTTGTGCACACGTATGCTAGTCCAGCAGTCTTTTCCCTGTAATAAGCCACCATTTCCCCAGGTCCCTTTCCAACATCTTCCACAGAAAGCTGGACCTTTCTGCCTGCCATATTTGTTTGAGGTGGGGTCTCATCTTGGAGCCCAGGCTGCCTGTATCTTGTTGTGGCCCATACTGGACTGGAACTGGCCATTCCCCTGCCTCAGCTTCTCCCGAGTGCTGACTATGGGGACACTCCACTGTCTGCTGTCTGCCTTAATCTCTTGGGGCTTGTATTTAAAACATCATTTATTGAAGTTTTGGTGAGGTTTGTAGACACAACAGAGATACATGCTATGTTCAGTCTGTATAGTTAGAGATCTTAATCATTTGTTCAATAAATTAATCTTCCCACCACATCGCGAACTGGGTCTTTCTTTGAGAGGCAGAGATACCACCAGAACCATCTGTGCCCTCCCAGGCTGTTCAACCTACCCAGAGGGTGCAGGGCAGGGTTCTCAGCTGGAACTTAACTCCATGAACCAGGGCCCTGCGCCCCCTGGAGCCTCATTTTGGTAGTGCAGCTGCTGGGGCGCCTTTTACAGAAACGGTCCCACTGGGTTGGGGTGTAGTGATGTCCCCTCCCTGAGCATCAGCAGAGGGACACACGTCACACTTGCTGAGTGAAGGGAGGGAACTGTGCTACAGGAACTCAAGAATTGGGCTGAACCCAGCAGAAAGCTCCTAACTCCACACTGTGACCCAGCAGCAGCAGGAGTGAGGGCAGTGGTGCCCTGCCCATGTGTCCCGCCGTGCATCTCTGGATCTGGGCAAGCCAGCTGTGAGTCAGAGGACCAGTGCCTGAGGCTCAGGGCTGCGTGGACATGATGAAGGGGAGAACCAGTATGTGAACACAGCGCAGGAGGTGCTAGGTGTTGAGGGTGAATGAATTCATATGTCCGCCTTCTGGAAGCTTCCAGGTTCCCAAGGGCAGCCTGGCAGACAACTACTTGCAGTCGCAGAAGGAACTGAGTGTTGTGTCTCTGTTATTGTCCAACAGCAAATGATGCCACAGATCCTAGGGTGTTCGCGGCGATTCCCACCTCCCGCTGTCCTGTCATCTCCCCGGGGTGTTGGTGAGGCCTGAACTTGCTTCCACAGACTACATAGGGCGTGACTGAGGGGATGGTTTGTCACTGACTTGAGAGGCTACATTGTATGACGATTGGAGACTTCCCTTACTGGCTTGATGGAATAAGAGGCAGACCATGGAAGGCTCTGGAACAGGAGCTGTGCACAGCTAATAGAAACCACAGCCCAAGACCTGCAACTTCCTCAGACAACATCCAGCATAGGATAGAGCACCGGCGGCAAGGACTGGAACTCTGCCCCGGCTCCAGTGGGGGCGGGGGAGGGGGAGGCACCGCCCACTGACTCCCTGACAGCAGCGTGTGAGACCCTGCGCTGCAGAAACACGGGATGATGAATGTGTGGGTTTGAACTGCCGCATCGTGGTAATTTATTCTGCAGTGTAGAAATCTCACACCACGAAAACAAAATGTGAGTGGTGCTCAGGGGGAGATGAATTCTGCTGAGATTTGGGAACGATCCCTCTACTACAAGTCTACAGAACTCAAACCCGTCCCTTTGGGAGAGCGGATGTAAAGCAGATCTGATTGGTTCTTCTCCAAAAGGTGACTGTCCTTTGGGTTATGTGAACAGCGCACATTCATTGTTATGAAGAACAGATAGTTTCTACATATTTTCAAATATTTTTATTACATTTTTATTGTGTGTGTGGTTTGTGTGCATGTGATATATATATATATATATAGTGTTATGTGTGTTTATGTGTGGTGTGTGTATACATGTGGTATATGTATTAGTGTGTGTAGTATATGTATGAGGTGTGTGCATGCATGTGTATGGTATATGTGGTGTATGTGTGGCATATGTATTGTGTGTCGTGTGTGTATGTGTGGTGTGCATGTGTTGTATGTATGAGTGGTGTGTGTGTATGGTGTATATATGAGTGGTATGTGTGTATATGTATAGTGTATATGTTGTATGTATGTATGGTGTAGTGTGGTGTGTGTGAATGTGATGTGTGTATGAATGGTGTGTATGTATGATGTGTGTGGTGTGTGTGTGGTGTGTATGTGTGGCATGTGTGTGCATGTGTTGTATGTATGAGTGGTGTGTGTGTATGGTGTATGTGTGTGTGTGTGTGGTATGTGTGTGCATGTGTTGTATGTATGAGTGGTGTGTATGTATGATGTGGTATGTGTGTGTATGTGTATGTGTGGTATGTGTGTGCGTGTGTTGTATGTATGAGTGGTATGTGTGTATGGTGTATGTGTGTGTGTGATATGTGTGTGCATGTGTTGTATGTATGAGTGGTGTGTGTGTATGGTGTATGTATGTGGGTGTGTGTGTGCGTGTGTGTGCCACCTGTAAACACACAGATTGGCTGAGGCACAGCTTGTCTTCCCTTTGTTATGCCTGTCACATGTCCCACACATACCTGTGACTACAAGGAAATAGCCCAAATGTCCTGTTAGCAGAGGAAGTAGGGCCACCCTGGTGACGCTTTTCTTTCAGCAAGCCTTCACCTCCTGAGGACACACAGCCTTCGCAAACACGTCACCAACTGGGGACATGTGAACCTGTGGGGGACAGTTCACATTCTGAGCACAGTGTGTAACGCAGGATTGTTCTCCCTCAGGAGCCCGAGTCACAGGCACATAGAGGGAGCATCCAGCTTGACCTCTCCATGCCCTACAACCAAAGCACACGTCTTCAGCTAGGGACACTGGGGATGCAACCCACAGCACTGGCAGACCTTCGTGGTATGTGGGGTCCCAGACACCCCTCATCAGAAGCTCCCAGGGAGAGCCGGGCACACACCTTTTGATCCCAGCACTCGGGAGGCAGAAGCAGGTGAGTCTCTGAGGATACAGTCCTATGAGAAGGGCATGGAGGTCATAGGATCAGCACAGCTGCCGGCCACCGTCCACTGGATCCTGTTAAGGGATTAGGGGACTGCAAACTGGGTAGAAAAATCCTCTCATCTGCAGCTCAGGGCTGTAATCTTGGGACCACAGGTCTCTGCGCTTATTCTATTTCCAGCCCTTGAAGTCTCCACTGGATTTGGTTCTAACCCCGTGTCTGGCATCCCCAGGTTAGGATGTGAGTTGTGGCTTGTGCATCTCCCTTGCCAGGTGTCTACACCGTCTGTCTCAGCCGGTTGCCTTTGCTTAGGCCAGTGAGAAGGGAGGGCAGGTTTCAGAAAACCAAGTTGCCCTTGTGCGGGGGGCATTAGGGACCAGGACCCACCTGTCCGTCTAGGGCATCAGTCTCTCGTGGGCCTGGACCATGGGTAACGTCATGGAGGGCAAGTCGGTGGAGGAGCTGAGCAGCACAGAATGCCACCAGTGGTACAAAAAGTTCATGACGGAGTGCCCCTCTGGCCAGCTCACCCTCTACGAGTTCCGACAGTTCTTTGGCCTCAAGAACCTGAGCCCCTCAGCCAGCCAGTATGTGGAACAGATGTTCGAGACTTTTGACTTCAACAAGGTGGGCAGAGGATGGCAGGGAGGGGAAGGGCGTGGTTCTTGGGGGATGCCTGAACAGCTGGGGGTGAGGGAGAGAGAACAAGAGAAAGGAAGTGGCCATCCTAACGGTTAGGTTAGCTTTTCTCTGCTTTTGGAGCTGAGTCTTATTGTAGAGCCAAGACTGGCCTTCAACCCGTGGCGATCCCCCTGCTTCAATGTCTTAGTTGCTAGGAATACAAGTGTGAGTTGCCATGTCCAGCTTTAGCTACCAGGGAGCCTGAGCCAGTTGGTTTTCCGTGTCTTGTTCATTTGGAAGGTGGATTTTGACGTTGGAGGTTTGATTCAACAGACATCAAGTGCCCCCCAATTTAGGTCCTGAGGGTGCAGTAATAACAAGACCCACTTCACAGTGGAGAGCAGAGGTCAGAGGCTGAGTGCAGGGGTGATCTTCATCCTTGTGCTGTACACCCCAGTGGCTTCAAGACAGCTGTGCACATGTCCAAGACAGCCACTGAGCACCCCAAGGTGCTGGTTCTGGATGGGTGTGATGCTTATGCAGGGACCCCTGGAAGCTCCTTGAATGTGAGAGGTGAAATCAGAGAGAGAGAGAGGGAGGAAGGGAGAGAGAGGGACTCTGAGTTGCATCTGAGGATAAGCTAGGCAGGCACACCATACCTGAGTCTCCATGATATTCTGAGGATTAGGACTGGGTCCAGGCATTGTGGCCTGGCCACTGGGACCCAAATATCTAACTCTAAAAACTCCCAGTGTCCTTGGTTCACCTTTCCCCAGGACAGTATGAAGATGCAGAGATCAAGTTGCATGTCTCCCTAGTAACTGCCCAGATGTACTGAGAGAGGCTTATGGAGATGCTAAAGGCCCAGGGAAGGATGGCCTTGAGCCCATGACTCTCCCTGGATCTCCCTGGATCTTCAAGGATGGGCACTGTTGGTTGAGGTTTCTGTTAGAGCCGGTGTAGTGTTGGTGCTGCTGGTCCCACACTCAGGAGGCAGAGGTGGGCTGGTCTCTGAGACCACCCAGGACTACATAGTGGGACCATGTCTGAGATGGAGGAGCAGAGATAAAGAGACAGAGAGGCAGAGAGATTGGTTGGAGCTCATCTGTCAAACTACCGGGCAGGAGGAATGCTGGAGGAATCCAAACCCGCAGACCTGCCTCCCCACCTTGTATGTTGCTGGTTAGCAAAGCTGGCCTCTCACTGGGACATGGGGTCTCTCGGGGATGTGGTGCCCACTGTGCCCAGGGGAGCCCCTTGAAAACACCACTGTGGTCCGGGCTTCTAGGGAACACCGAGATCTGCCTGTGGTTATTTAAAACTCACTAATATGTGAGTTAAGAGGCCGAGAGTCGGATTATGAACTAAAGGGCCAGCTCAAGGGCAGTGTCCTGGTGTCCGAGGGTGCTTGCGCTGGGGGATCTGAGCCGCAGAACCCGAGACAGGGTGCTGAAGAGAAGGAGTCATCAGGGTGGACACCCCGAAGTGCTCAGGGGAAGCAGTGGTCTCTCCTGGCCAGGCTGAGAGGGCCCAGCACCTTATTTCCAGCACACCTGCTAAGGAAGCCCTGTGGGTCAAGACACATCTGTAGGAAGAGTCCTTCGAGTTACATGCCACCCAGCTCCCCGACACTCACCTAGCCCATGTCACCTGTGTGCCACCTCTTCAGTTTCTGCCGTGTGCTTTCTGGAACTCGATCCTGTTTAAAGTCAGGAGCTGGGCATGGTGTTGCATGCTGCAACCCCAGTGCTCAGGAAGCAGAGGCAGGAAATGTTCAAGATCGGCTACACAGCCTGGCATGCATGAGAGCCTATCGCCATTCCACACCCAAACCCCCAAACAACAGAAAAGTCAGTCAGCTTCTTGTCTTTCCCCAACCTGGCTCCTCATGACCCTACACACCTTCCCCTGGGGCTTTGTGTGCTGGAACCTTCTCCCTCTAGAACAGTGGTCCTCAACCTTCCTAACAGTGTGACCCTTTAACAAGTCCCTCCTGTTGTGGTGACCCCAACTCCAATGATAAGAATACTTCATTGCTACTCAATAACTGTAATTTTGTTATGAATCATGACGTAAATATTTTTGGAGACAGGCTTTGCTGAGGGGCTGAGACCCTCAGGTTGAGAACCACTGCTCTAGAGCCTGCTGGCTCCTGCCTCCCTTGTTGTAAATCTCTGCTCTAGCCTCGCCAACCCACCCCCTGGTTTACTGGGTTAAACTTTATTAAGAAAACTGGGTCCGGTCCCATTACTGCCTTCCCTAGCCCTGGCTTTCTACCTGGAGCAGCTTTAATTTTTCACATTTTATTTTTTGGGCTGGAGAGTTGGCTCAGCAGTAAAGAGCTCTTGCACAGGACTTGGGTTCGATTCCCAGCACCTGTAAGGTGCTAACAACCTCCTGTTCCAGGGGATGCAGCTCCATCTTCTGGCCTCCTTGGGCAATGCATGCATGTATGAAGTGCACAGATATGCATATCTGTGCACCCATGTGCATAACATTTTTAATTAATTTATTTTTATTAGTTCATACTTATTAACTTAAAATTTACTCATTTAATTCCTTGTTTCCTGCTGCCAGATATTAAATAACTCTGACCCCTCTGGTCTGACTCTCCCTGTAGGGATGTGAGCTTTGAGAGAACTTATTTATCGCTGAGGCTCCAGCTCTAGGACAGTGCCCGGAACATGTTAGGGGCTTCTTAGGTATTTATGAGTAAGTGAATATATGAGAAATCCTGAGCTTTAGGGGCTAACATAGATTTTATAATATAAATAATTTAATTGAGCAATTATTATAATGAAGAGCATAGCCAGTCATGGTGGTACACGCTTGCAATTTCAGTACTTAGGTGGCTGAGGCAGGGGAATCACCACAAGTTTAAGGCCAGCCTGGGAAGTATAACAGGACTCTCTCTCCCCCCCCCACACATACACACACACACACACACACACACACACACACACACACACAGACTGTATAATACTCACTATGCCTTCCCACACCACTGTATTCAGTTACTCTGCAGGCCACACTATGTTGACCTTGACCATTGGCATCAATCAGCACAGAGCAGTTTAACAGCTTAGCCTTGAGGCAGGACCCAACCCTGAGCACTCATTTTTTAGAGACAGGTTGAAGCAGAATTGTTCAAATGAGAGTCCGAGGACAGGGTCTCATGTAGTCTAGACTAGCCTCAAAGTCTACCACTGTTGAGGATGACGCTGAACATCTGTGTATGTATGTGTGGGTTTTTTTTTTTTTTTTTTTTTCCGAGACAGGGTCTCTCTGTGTAGCCCTAGTTGTCCTGGAGCTCTCTCTGTAGACCAGACTGGCCTTGAACCCACAGAGATCTGCCCGCCTCTGCCTCTTGAGTGCTGGGATTAGAGGTGTGTGCCACCATTGACTGGCTGACTTTGAATTTTGATCTCCCTCCTTTGTGCATCAGCACACCTGTTTAATCGGTGCTGGGAATCAAACCCCAGCCCCTGCTGCTGCTTCTGTGACATTCTCGCTAGGGAGTTCAAGGCTGGCCTTGAATTGCATCTGATCCTCCTAAGCTGCCTCCTGGGTGCTGGTGTGACAGGTGTGTGCCACCACACTTCCCTATCCAAGCTTTGTAAGAACAGTGTTAGTAGAACATGCCATCCTCATTTATTTAGGAGTTGCGGGGCTGGAATATACCTCAATGGGAGGATGCTTGCCTTGTGTGCTCAAGACCCTGCTCTGTGGATGCTCTGTTGATGAAGTGTTTGCATAGCTTGCTCGAGGCTTGGGATTCAGTTCACCACATAAACTGACTGTGATGGTGCATGCCTGTAACCTTTGCTCCCAAGAGGTAGAAGCAGCAGAATTAGAAGCTCAAAGTTACCCAGGCTACCTAGGGAGCTGAAGACCAGCCAGGCTTAGAGATTGGTTTTTTTAGGCATGGGTGTTATCAAAACAGTTGTCATGGCTGCCCTGAGATGCAGGGCTGAGACCTTTAAAAAAAAAGTTAGCCATTCCAGTGAGACGACCTCTGGGTACCAGGCAGCTGCACCAAATACACGGAGGGGCAGGCAGACAAAGGAGAAGCCTGTGCCCTGGCCCCTGCTCGGCTCTCGGGGGCGTGGCTGTGCAGGCTCATCACACCATACACAGATCTGTGCTGTGCTTTCAGTTTGCCTGACCCTGGTGTAGAGTTTAGAAGGCCCAGTTTCCAGGCAGGGCTCTGTCATTCAACTCATTGTGTGGCCTCATCTTTCTCAACGGCAGCCTGAATGGGGACAGAAACGGGCAACTCCTGAGAACACTGTGGCATGAAATGAGCAAATCGGCATTCTCAGCTAGGAAGCACATGCAGAGTGCTGGAATAACACAACTGAGGGCCAGGGTAATGGCTCAGCCAGGAAGTGCTTGCCATGCAAGTGTGAGGGTCTGAATTTGTTCTCCCACACCCATGTAAAAAGCTGGGTGCACAACTGTCGCTTTAGCCCTGGGAAGGGAGTCAGAGACAGATGGGTCCCTGGGGCTCACCAGCCAGCCAGTTTAGCTGAATCAGTGAGTTCCAGGCCCCAGGAGAGACCCTATCTCAAAAAAACGCAATGTGGAAGGCGATAGAGAAGGAAACCCCACATCAACCTCTGACCTCCAGAGTACAGGCAGGAACACACACGCACACATCCACACACACTCACATACACACTCATACACACATCCACACACACTGATACATTCACACACTCACATACACACTCATACACACATCCACACACACACTGATACACACATTCACACACTCAGATACACACTCATACTCATACACACTCATACACACATATTCACAACTCACGCACACACTCACACTCCACACACACACTCACATATACTCACACAGTTATACATACACAGACACACTTACACATACTCACATTCAAAACACACACACACTCAACACACACATAGTCCACACTTTACATACACTCACACATACTCATATACACTCACACATGCTCACATACTCACTCACACACATGTACACATTCACACACTATACATACACACACTCACATACACACACATTGCACACACTCACATAAGCTCACACTCACACAGACACACACACTACACACACACTCATACGCACATACTCACACAGACACACAGACACATACACTCATATACACATACTCACCCACACACTCTCACAGACACACACACACTCTCCAAGAAGCAAGGCAGGAAGATCCTGGGTTCCAGACCAGCCTGGGCCACATAACAAGACCCTACTTATTTATTGTTTATTGTGTGTCGAACACTTTTCTCTCTTCTTCAAGCATTGTGCATAGGGGCTTGCTCCATCCTGATGGCCACCCTGGGAGGTATGGGCAAAGGAAAGCCTTTGAACACGGGGCAGTACCACACAAATGTTCACTATCAGCTTCATCCTTGCAGTGCCGCTCAGGGTGGTGAAGGTCTTGCTTAAGGCCAAAGGCCAGACACACCGGGGGACCCTAGAGGCCATCTGGCCTCAGCTCTGCCGCCTTCCTGCCAGCTGCCCTTGCATGCACCCAGTGACAGAGTTCCCATTACTGACTCAAATGGTCCTGCCAGTCAGCTCTGCCTGCTGCAGGCGTCTTCATTCACAGCCTGCTTGGACCTAGGCTCCCGAGTCATGGCTGTAGATGGAGGAGCAGGGGTGGCTGCTCTCAGCCTTCCTTCACATGCTGGGGTTGCACAGTAGCAGGAGCAGCGTGGAAGGGCCCGGGAGGATTGTCCTACAAACAGGTCTTGTGCTCCTTGAGATTGGGGATGCAGCTGAGAGGTAGTGTGCCTACCCGAGGTGCTTGAGGCCCTAGATTCAATCCCTGGTATTGCAAACACTTGATGCTACATATGAAAGTCACGAGTCCCCCCATGACCAACCCCCTTTCAAGACTCACTGGAGGCAGCGCCTCCTCTTAAAGCGCCTGAACTCCCCTTCTCTCCCGGCTTACAGAGTTGGGGTGAGTCTATAATGCCCTGGTCACATGTCGGATGCATTGTGATGGCAGAGGCATATCCCCTCACCCCCATACTGATTTTGTACTGGTCATAATGAATAATCCTGGGACTGGAGAGATGGCCAAGTGGTTAAGAGCACTGGCTGCGCTTCCAGAGAACCTGGGTTCACTTCCCACAGGGCAGCTCACAACTATCTGTAACTCCAGTTCCAGGAGATCTGACGCCTTTGCATCTGCACTCATGTGCACATACACTACTGGGAGACACGTGCGCGCACACACGCACACACACACGCACACGCACACGCACGCACACACACGCACACGCGCGCACGCACGCACACACACGCACGCACGCACACACGCACGCACGCACTCACGCACACACACGCGCACACACACACACGCGCACACACACGCACGCACGCACACACACCCCTAGTTGAGAAAGTAAACAGTGGCTGCGTGCCTGCTGAGCTTTGAGAGGACTAGAGTTTGGTTCCTAGCACCCACATGAGGGTGCTGGCTGGCAACAACTCCTCTTCTGGCCTCCAAGGGCACCCACACATATGGCAAACACTCCCACAGACGCATAAACAAAAATAAATACAATTTTTAAAGAAAGCAAACAGAGCTGGGTATAATGGCACATACCTTTAATCCCAGCACTCGGGAGGCAGAGGCAGGTGGATCTCTGAGTTGGAGGCCAGCCTGATCTACAAAGGGAGTTCCAGCCAGAGCTACACAGAGAAATTCTGTCTCAAAATAAAGCAGGGGAAAAAAAAAAAAAAAAAAAAAAAAGGCAAGAACAAGCAGCGCTCACTGGTTAGTGTGTTCGTGCCTGGTACTCAAACTACAGGGGCTCATTTCATCAAAAGCAATCCCGACGGTTGGTACCACTGCCGCCATGCTAAGTCCTCTGTCACACATCCTAAAACTCAGAGATGGCCGAGGAGGTAGGATTCAAACCCGTGCCTCCTGTCATGACAGGACCGCCGGTTGACTGAGCTCCAAGTTCTCAGTCTTTCTTAGCATGCGGCAGGGTTCAGTGGAGCTTGAAGCCAAGAGGAAAGAGCCTTCAGATAGGCCTCCTGCCCCCACCTGCCAGGTCAGCAACTCCAGAGCCCTCCCGATTCACGTCTCAGCACTGGCTCATGCTCTTCCTTCCCCGCCTGCTGAAGATATGGGAAGGGCCCCTGTTTGAGAATCAAATGGAAGCAGTGGGTTGGTTCCCACAGGTTTGATTGACAGCCTCTGAAGTCGATGAGAGGCGGGCAATGTTGAAGTGTCCCGAAGGACAGATAGTGGTGGTACAATAAGCGGGCTCTCTTCTGCTTAGCTTCTGAGGGCTTTTGGAGGCGGGACGGGGTGGGGGCAGAGGCGGGGTTCTGACTGAAGCGGGCGGGGCTCTGAGCAGAGTGGGCGGAGCCCTGGTGTGCTAACCCCGCCTCACCTCTCTCCCCTCACCCAGGATGGCTACATTGACTTCATGGAGTATGTGGCCGCGCTCAGCCTGGTCCTCAAGGGCAAGGTGGAACAGAAGTTGCGCTGGTATTTCAAGCTCTACGACGTCGATGGCAACGGGTGCATAGACAGGGACGAGCTGCTCACCATCATCCGGGTAACTCCAGGTGCAGAGGGCTGGGTCAGTGGTGCGTGGCGGGTGGCCAAGGATGGGTGCCTGGCTGAGAGCCCCAGGAGAGAACTGCAGAACTGGGATGAGATTTGGGACCGAGGGATGACAGATTTCTCACTGACTGCATGATCTGGGCCTTTGTTTCCATCATTGGTACTAAGGCACTGCTAAAGCTCCACACTTCGCGCCCGCACGTGTGTATGTGTGTGTGTGTGTGTGTGTGTGTGTGTGTGTGTGTGTGTGTCGGGGGGGCAGGGGTAGCGGGTGTCTCTTTCTCTGTCTTATGGAGACAGGGCCTCTTACTGAACCTGGAGCTAGGTTGGAGACCAGCAAGCCCCAGCAGACCTCTTGTCCCTCCCTCCCTTACCCTCGCCCCCAGCACTAGGGTTCCCGGAGCGGGACCACACCTGGCTTTTTACCTGGGCAGCAAGCATACTTTTATACATCTTAGTATTTCAAGACAAGGTTTCTCGGTATTGCTTTGGAGCCTGTCCTGGAACTAGCTCTGTAGACCAGAATGGCCTCGAACTCACAGAGATCTGCCTGCCTCTGCCTTCCGAGTGCTGGGATTAAAGGCGTGCGCCACCGACCTCCTGCTCAGGATTTGTTTTTTGGGACCGAGTCTCACTATGTAGACCAGGCAGGTCTGGAACTCACGGACATCTGCCTGCCAGTACAGAAAGCCACGACGGCACCCCCTGCCCCTTTCTTTAATGGCAAGGCCTTACGTTGTATAGATGGCTCACAACTTCTTAGCTGTATTGACCTAGAATTTGAGGCAATCCTGTCTCAGCATCCCAAGTGCCTGAGGCCCTGTAGTACCACGATCTCCCTTCTGACTCCTGGGTTCTGACAGGGTTGCTCTTCTCTCATTCCCACTGAGACCGGTCCCTTCACTTCTGCCCTCCCAGGCCATCCGAACCATTAATCCCTGGAGCGACTCATCCATGAGCGCCGAGGAGTTCACAGATACTGTGTTTGCCAAGATCGACATCAACGGGGATGGTGAGGGGGCCGAGGGGGTGGTTCCCCGGGGGATGGCAGTCACCCCTGGAGAGGGGCAAGAGAGGAGGAGGAGAGGGGACCTTCTGCTGGTCACCTCCTCTGCCCACCTCTGCCCTGGTTCAGAATTGGATTTTGGGGATCCCTGTACCAGATCTTGGGTTCTGGATTCCTTACCCTTGCCCCCAGAGCTGGCTCTGTCCCCGTCCTTTGCAAACTTCCAGTTCTGAGACCTGCGAATCCTTTTCTTTCCGCCCCAGGGGAACTGTCTCTGGAGGAGTTCATGGAAGGCGTCCAGAAGGACCAGATGCTCCTGGACACCCTCACCCGTAGCCTGGACTTGACCCGCATTGTGCGCAGACTCCAGAACGGCGACCAGGAGGAGGCAGGCGCTGGTGACACCTCAGCGGAGGCTGCGGGCTGAGTCTCCGCCTGAGGCTTCTGCATGCTGAGGATTGCCCTGGTGTGGTGCCTGATGTGGTTGTTTTGTTCTTGTTTAACATTACATAGAATGTCCTGAACTAACTCAGAGGCTCGGCTTGTTTCTTTGGGTGAACAGTGCCAGTGGAGGGGCCGTAGCATCAAAGCCCAGCCAGAGCACGGTCCCTGGTCCCTCCTTCCGCTGGCATCTCTCCGTTCTGACGGTCCTCTCTTGCCCCTCACATCTTCTTGCCCAGCTTCCCTGCTGTATTTCCAAGGACACGTCCTTCGGATGTGGAAGTTCTGAGAGAGTTCCTGGAACTCTGATGGGATACGGGCATCTGTTGACACAGCTTCCGGCGGTCACGCCCTGCCCTGACCCTGCAGCCGCTTGCGTGGCTTCAAGTGATGAACAAACATTTATTGAGCATCTACTGTCTGTCAGTGTTAGATGAGGCATCCTCCAGCCTGCATGATTTGAGGGAGCAAACCTCTTTTCCCAGCTGGGTTACTATTCATATTTTCCATGGACCGTTTTCATCTAAGTGATTTCTAAAGGAACCTTTATGGCAACATCCTACAAAATACCAAACCCCAAGTGCCTGAGACTGCTCAGCAGTGAGAGCTCTAGCAGAGGACCCAGCTCTCACATGGCAGCTTGCAAGCATCTGTAACTCCAGTCCCAGGGGACTGGACACCCTTTTCTGGCCTCTGTGGACAACACACACAGTGCACAGACATATTGCAGGCAAAGCACCCATGCACATAAAATAGAAATAAAGAGTAAAAGAACAAAACACACCTCAAGTTCAATCTGGGGGCACAGTGGTGCACACCTGTGACACCAGCACACAAGGTGCTGAGGCAGGGGGATTGCCACGGGTCTCAAGCTAACATGGGCCTCCAAAACCTTGAAAGCAAATAACCCCTCCCAGGAACAAGAAACAACAAAAACCGGGGCATATTGGCTCACACTTATAATCTGGAGTCTGGCTAGCTCGGGCTATAGAGTGAGCTACAGGCTAGCCTGAGCTACAACTTGAGGCCTTTCTTAAATAAGCAAAGAAACTTCCACTCAAGGTCAATAAGTTAGTTTATTTTAACATAAGAACATGTCTGCTCAAGGTAAAGCCAATAATCCATCAGGTTCCACAGGGAGTCACTAAGAGTGACACTGGTCCCATTTCCTGTCCTCCGAGGTGCCTTCCCCAGCTGCACAGGGCAGAGGAAGGCAGGGAGGTTAACCAGGGAAGCCCCCTGGAAGTCTAGCTTCTATGTGGCATGAAAGACATTTACATGATAATCTAGAAACTGTCTCCTCAGCCTGCAGGAGGTTAGGGGTCCAACAGCAGGGGGAGGGCAAAGTCTGGCCTGAAACACCAAAGCACAGGCACCTGGTCCTCCCCAGAGGTGAAGAGAAGGTGTCTCCATCCTTAACGAGGCATGTGGGCTTATGGCAGGAAATGGCTAACCCTGGAGTGGGGCGAGGAGGAGAAACTGGAGAGCATCACTGAACAGAGCACACACACGCACACGCGCGCGCGCGCGCACACACACACACACACACACACACACACAAGCTCAGTGGGCCTCCAGTTGCTGGAAGATCACCGTGGTAACTGTGTGCTGCCTTCCCCTTTCGTCAACCCTGGTGAGGACACCCTGGGGGAGGAGGCTGCTCAGGGTAGGTGGGCCTGGACCATGATCTTTCTCCATCTTAATTCTGCTTCCTTCCAGTCTTTGCCTCCCATCCCATCCCCAGCTGCTCACTTCCAGCGAGAACAATGAAAGATCAGAGTGAGCCCCACGTCTCCCAGTCAAAGCCCAGCCCTTCCAGGGGCAGCCGAGGAGTGTAGAGGAGTTCTCGACAACACTGGTAAATCCTGAGGAGGGACGAACCCCAGGGGGCTTCTTCAGACCCAGCAGCCATTGCTCATCCCCTTGCTGCCCAGCTCTGGGGTGGGGTGAGGGGTCAGGAAGTCCACACCAAGCAAGAGTGGGCCTGAGACTCCTGCTACTTTGAAACCCTGGGGACTCTGGAGGCGCAGAGGGGAGTGTGGGCTCCTGCATGGTCCCCGGGCTCAAAACATGGCACTTCTCCGCCTTTGCTGGGTGATCCAGCCGCCAGGGCTGACATCCATCTGTAGCATCTTCATTACCCACTTGTCTCGACGGGCTCCTTCAACAAACTCGGTCAGAGACAGCTGGCCTGAGCGAGAGTGGGAGACGTGGTCACAAGGGGAGAGAAGCTCGGCCTGGGTGTATGGGGAGGGTCCCTCCTGGTCTGGGGCCTCATCTCTACAAACCGGACCGAAGCCTGATTCTAATCCTGTGGACCAAAGCCTGATTCTAATTCTGTAGCTTGTCAATTCTGAGTCCATAGGAGCCTCTTGCAACTCACAAGCTGTGTGTGTGTGTGTGTGTGTGTGTGTGTGTGTGTGTGTGTGTGTGCACGCGCGCACGCTCAAGCTCAAGCATGTATATGAAAGCCGAAGGACAATTTCTATGTCATTCCTCAGGCACCAACTACTTTCTTTTCTTCCTTTTTTTTTTTCTTTTTTGAGACAGGGTATCACTGTGTAGCCCTGGCTGGCTTGGAATTTACTATGGAGACCAACTTGGCCTTGAATTCACAGAGCTCCTCCTTCCTCTGCCTCCCACACCTTTAATTATTATCAGGCACACACACACACAGTGTGGGGGTGGGGGGGACATACATGCTCAACACAGTGTGAGTGTGAAGCTTAAGGGACAACCTTCAGTGTTTGCTTCTCTCCTTCAACCAGGGATTTAATTCAGGCCATCAGGCTTGGTGACAAGTGCCTTTATTCACAGAATCATCTCTCTGGTACCTTTTTCTCTTCTAAAAAATATATTTGGGTCTGGAGAGATGGCTCAGTGGTTAAGAGCACCGGCTTCTTTTACAGAGGACCCAGGTTCAGTTCCCAGCACCCACATGGTGGCTCACAATTGTCTGTAACTCCAGTTTCAGGGGGTTCAACACTCTTTGGGTGGGCATTGCATGTATATGTTACACAGACATACATGCAGGCAAAATACATAAAACAAAATTAGTTGTTTTTATTTTCTTGCTTAGCCTTGTTTATCAGGCACTCTCAGGGAAGGTGCAGCCTACAAATGTGTGCTGAGGTGTTTGTGGTGCCTTTGGTATTTCGTGTGGTCCCTCCCCCAGGTCTCTCTTACCGTCTCCATTCTCATCCACCAGGAGGAAGATCCTGTCCACCACCTCCTCAGGGGTGAGCAGCTGGCCCTGCTGCTCCAGGTCCAGCTCCGCTCGGCAGGCTTTCTTCAGCTTGTAAATCGCCTGCCAGAGAGAAAGCGAGGCTCCTCTGACAGACCCTCAGGGACCCGTGTCCATTAGTGCCACCTCCCTGGCCCTGGCCTCCAGGCTGAGCATCCTGGTATCTCCTGGCCCAGATATCCTGGCTACTCTTCGTTTATTTGACGCTAACCAGAGTCATCAGGGAAGAGGGAAGCACCTCAGGCAGGCACTTCAGCATTTTCTTGACTAATAACGGATGTAGGAGGGCCCGGCACTCTGTGGGTGCAGCCCTTTAAGAATGAAAGACTGGCTGGGTGGGGGTGGCAGGGGCGCACGCCTTTAATCTCTCTCAGCAGAGGTGGAGTGGATCTCTGTGAATTCAAGACCAGCCTGGTCTACAAAGTGAGTTCCAGGGCAGCCAGGGCTGTTATACAGAGAAACTCTGTCTCAACGCCCCCTCCCCCCAAGAAAAAGATAAAAAAAGAAAGAAAAAGAAATGACTGTCTTAAAACAAACAAACAGTGGGTATAAAGGGATGGCTCAATGGTTGAGAACACTGGCTGCTTTTCCCGAGGACCTGGGCTGAACTGTCAGTACCTACATGACAGCTAGCAACCCTCTGTCACTCCAGTTCTAGGGGATCTAACCCCTCCTCTGGCTCCTGAGGGCACAGCACACAAGTGGTATACCACTGTACATGCAGGAAAAACATCCATACACATAAAGCAGTAAAACATAAATTGCTTCAGAATATAACCATAAACACATACCGCACATGCCCCCACCCCACAAAAAGAAACCTTTTTTTTTTTTTTTTTATGAGACAGGGTTTCTCTGTGTTCTGGAACTCACTCTGTAGATCAGGCTGGCCTCAAACTCACAGAGATCTGCCTGCCTCTGTCTCCTGGGTGCTGGGATTAAAGGTGTGCGCCACCACCACCTGGCCCAATTCTGATTTTTATTGACTTGTTTTTTATGTTCATTGATTGATTGGACTGGGAGATGTCTAGATTTGTTATGCACACTTCCATGTAAATGAGCTGTTTTCTAGAGCCAAGCAGATCAAAAGGACTCAGACAGAATGGATGGCTTCACCCTTTGATGGACACAAAACCTAAGTAGGCTGTGACATGTAGAGTATGGAAGCTCAGGAGACGAGATCTCTAGAACGGTTAGAAGGGTCTCTCTGACGGGTGTCGCTTGGCCTGGCTACTTCCTGGCTGCCATGGTGTGAGGGCCCTCCCCCCTCACATGCTCCAGTCACACGGTATTCTGCCCATGGGGACCCACAAAGGAATGGCAGAGTGAACCCTCTGGGTCATGAAACAAACCTGTCCTTCCTGTTTTAAATTCCTCCCACAAATACAGTCAAAGCTGTGAGAATTTTGACTCAACTTTGTTCTCTTGTGCATTTGGTTTTTTTGTTTATTTGTTTGTTTTTTCCTTTTGTGACAGAATCTCACTTTAGCCAAAGCTGGCATGGAATTCATCATATAGGGTGCTCTGGCTTTGAACTCTTGATCTTCATGCTTAAACTCATGTGTGCTGAGATTGTGGCATCTGCTTTGTCTTCTACCTTATTCGTTTCTTGTTTTCAATTTCTTTGGCTTTCATGGTACTCCTTTTAATGTCTGTAGGTGACTTCTCAGATTCTTGTTTTCTTTTCTCAAATTGAAGTTTGCTGTTGTTATTAGTACTGTGTATGTGTGTACTGGTGTGTGTGTTAGAGGGGGTGTCCTGTATGCATGAGCACATGGGTACTATGGCGGGCAGGAGGAGGTCAGAGAAAACTTACTCTACCATGTAAATCCCAGGGGTTAAGCCTCAACCAAACAGCCGGGCCACCTTGATGGTCCCCATAACACATTGTGAGTGACTCCATCACTCCTAACTCAGGGCCAGGTGGCTCCCTGCTAGCAGGTCACCAGCCTCCAGAAGTGACAAGTGGGCAGGGCACGCTCACAGGCGGATACTGACCTCCACAATGTCCAGCAGCTCCAGGCGGTCGATGCAGCCATTGCGGTCCTTGTCATAGATCTTGAAGGTCCACTTAAGCTTGTGCTCCAGGGTGCCCCTCAGCACTAGATTCAGTGCCGCCACGTACTCCAGGAAGTCAATGGTGTTGTCCTGCATTGAGTGTGGGCAGAGTTGAGGCCCTGGGTCCCAGTCTCACCTCCCCAGGGAGCACGTGTGAGTTCAGCGCTCCCTGCAACCCAAGAGGCTGCTGTGCATTGTGCGTGCTGTTCCTTACCCCGGGACACTGCTCACTCTCTGCCTCACCCTCCCATGTAGATGGGATGGCAAGCCCATGCCACGGGGTCTAGAGAATTGTTGTTCATCATTTGTCCAGAATTTTCTGTTCTTATAATATCATCTCTCAACACAATTCAGGTCCCACAATGACCCCATGCTTTATGAGGCACATTCTGGCGTAGCTCCTTCCTGGTATGGCCTCCACCCCTGTGAGGTCATAGAAACTCTGGGACCATTTGTGGGACACCTCTGGCTGGGGTTAATCTCATCTATGCACAGGTCAGCAGCCATTACACACTGCAGTCTGAGACGGATGGATACACCCGTCACTCAGCACAGGCTGGAGGCACCTAGAGATTATCTGCCCTGGCTCTCCCTGGCTTGTGCACTGGTCCTACAGCTGTTATACAGGAACTTCAAACTGGGGCCAGTCTAAACGGTTCAGCCTTGAAAGGTCAGCAAGCAAACTAAAGGAATCCTGACTAACAAAAGAGACATCTCGGCTGTCCCTTGCATTTTTCTGTAAGATTTATTTATTTGTGTATTTATCTGTTTGTTTTCACGTATGAATGTTTTGCCTGCATGTATGCATGCATACCATGTGTGTGCATGGAGGTCAGAAGAAGGCACTGGATCACATGGAACTGGAATTACGGATGGTTGTGAGCCACCATGCGGATGCTGGTAATCAAATCTGGGTCCACTGAACTTTGAGCCATCTCCCCAGCCCCATCTTCCCTTTTCAAACCTCCATCCCAAGCTACTCTCAAGAGTGGTGCTGCAAGGGGCAGCAGGGGCGGAGGGAGAAGGCTGAGGCAGGGGGATCTCAAGTTTTAGGCCAGACTGGGCTACATAGTAAGACCCTGTCTCAAAACAGAAGGGCTGGAGAGACTGCATGGTTCGGCTCCCAGCACTCGAGGGCAGCTCACAACCATCTACAACTCCATTTCTAGGGAATCAGATGCCCTCTGACCTCCAAGGGCACCAGGCACACAGTGCACTACATATGCACACGTGCAGACAAAACACTCATATACATAAAGTAAAACCAATCTAAAAATAGCAATAAAACTCCCAGTCCTCTAAGCAGAAACACTGGACCAGGAGTTAAGACAGCCAAGTGAGTCCTTGACCCTGGGCAAATGGGCTCCCTTTCTTGGGCTTGATGTGTCTGTCTGTGGAGTCAGCGCTGGCCTCACCCTAGGATGCCTCCAGAGCTGAACAGAGCATACCCGCCATGCCCAGCCACCAGTGTGCCATCTCTAACCCCAGTTTTCCCATCATTCAATTTAATTCAGACAAAAAACTACCCCCCTTCCTGGCGAGGCTCCTACAGCCCTGAGGAGAAGAGGAGGGGGTGGACCTTCGAGGTCTGAAGCCAGCCCACCCTGTGACCTCAAGTGGCAGAAGATCTTCTGCAGGGACACTTTCTTCAGATTACCTGTGTACTCCCTCATGTCAGGGACTTAAAATAGGCTAGTCCACACTGCCAATCCCAGGGGCACTCAGGAGGCCAAGGCAGGTGGAGCTCTGTGAGTTCCTGGCCAGCCTGGTCTGCAGAGTGAATTCCAGGCTGGCTCAGACTAGATAGTGAAACCCTGTCTTAAACAAAAACCCCAAATCAAAACAATACAACACAACAAAAAAGACCTCAGGACAAGCAGATAACCTTTAGAAATAGTCTTTTTTTCATCTAATTTTTAAAAAGTATTTTTATCTTATGTACATTGGCATTTTGCCTCATGCATGTCTGTGTGAGTGTTGAACTGGAGTTATAGACAGTTTTGAGCTGTCATGTGGGTGCTGGGTATTGGAAGAGCAGTCAGTGCTCTTACTGAGCTGTCTCTCCAGCCCTGAATTAAAACACATGCTTGAAGCAAAGCTAGAGCCTCAGAGAATTTAATACAGCTTTTATGTCCTAGGGTTAAGAGAGAGAAAGACACTTGGGAAGAAATAAGAGATACTAAGAATGTGGTTCTGGGCTTCTCGAAGGACGGTAGCATTGGATTAAATTAAGATTGTCTGTGCTAAGATAGCTTTGGGACAACTCAGTCCCTTGAATTTAGAGCAAGAGGGGCTCTACGGGCTTTGAAAGACCATGTCCCTTTGCTGCAGTTCCTTGGCCCAAAATGCACAGAGAAGTCCCAGGCTTTGGTTCTCAGAAAGAGGATTAGAGAGCCAGGGAGAGGAAGAGGAGAAGGGAGGGATGATGGGACAGAGAGGAGCTGGGGGAGATGGCGAGACAGACAGAGCAAGCAGCATGGAGAGGAAAGCAGGAGAGTAGACCTGACCCTGAGGGGCTCAGGACAGGAAGGGCACTGGTCTTAGTGGTAGTGGTCGCAGGTGCCCTACAGGGCTCCTTACCCCATTCTTGTCGAAGGCACGGAACATGCCCTCCACGTACTGGGTGGCCTCCTCATTGCCGGTGACCTTGAAGAAGCGCTTGAACTCGTGCATGAAGAGCGTCCCACTGGGACACTCCACCACAAACTTCTTGTACCATTCCTGCAGTTCCGCCACGTCCATCTCCCCGGCAGCCTCCGCCTCCTCCCAGCTGAACTGCTGCCCCATCCTGGCTTTTTAAACGCCAGGGAGCCAGGTCCTGTGCCTTCAAGGCTTCGGCTGCCCCTGCCGCCTCCGGGAAGCTGGGCTTGACTGGTAGTGAAGGGATCTCCAGAAGTGGGGCAGCCCAGGTCAGCTTAGCTGCGTAAGACCGCTAGAATATTCCCGAGTGTCTGACCTCCATATGGCTAAGCTTCCTCAGCCTCGCCCCTCCCAGGTCTGCTGAGAGGCTTCAGACTGTGAGCAGGAGAGGCCTGGGGGCTTTCTTGGTTCCCTCGCAGACCATGCCTGAGTGTTGAGTTTTTCATTTTCCAGTTTAAATGCTTCGCCCCAGTCATCAACCAAACCCTGAAGCAAATTCTCTGAGTCTCTCCCAGACACTAAGACCAACAGGAGTGGAGGCTAAAGTATCTTCAAGTATCTTATCTTCAAGGCCACACGAACCTGCTTTAGAAGCAGTTACAGATTAGTTATGTTGATCAAGTATATATTCATTATATATTGAATCAATTACATATTCAGTGTGTACAACTATAATCCCAGTACTGGAGAGGCCGGGGATCTGGAGTACAAAGCCACTCTGGGCTACCCTGTTGATGCAGGAAGCCCCCCTCCATGTCAGTAACAAAACAAATTCTATATCTATGTTATCATTTATATTTTATTTATTTATTTTTGATTTTTCAAGACAGGGTTTCTCTGTGTATCTTTGTAAACCAGGCTGGCCTCAAACTCACAGAGATCCGCCTGCCTCTGCCTCCCGAGTGCTGGGATTAAAGGGGACTGCCATTACCACCTATGTTATTTTTATTTTTTTGAGACAGGTTGTCACATTGTAGCTCTGGCTGCCCTGAAACTCATTATGTAGACCAGAATGATTCACAGAGATCTACCTACTTCTGCCTCAACTGCTGGGATTAAAGGTGTAGACCACCATGCTTGGCTGGGTTTTATTTTTATCTTATGTGAACAAGTGTTTGCTTGTACATATGCAAGTATGTGTATCACATGCAGGCAGCATTTCATAGAGGCCAGAGGGGTTGGTTCCCTTAGATCTGGAGTTATATTCATTGTGAGCCACACATTGGATGCTGGGAACTAAATCTGGGTCCTCTGAAAAAGCAACAAGTGTTTTTAATCATTAAGCCATCTCTCCAACCCTTGTGCTTTTTTTATTTTTAAAAGATTTATTTTCCTTATTTTAGAATTGTGCGTTGACGCACATGCATGGTGGGGGTGTATGTGCTCATGTGAGTGCAGTGCCCATGAAGGCCACAAGAGGGTGTCAGATCCCATGGAGCTGGAGTTACAGGCAGTTGAGAGCCACTCAACATGGGTGCCGGTGTTTGAACTCAGGTCCTCTGCAAGGTCAGAATAACCACTTGAGCCACCCCTCCAGCCTGCCCACCAGACCTTTTTTTTTTTTTAAACAGGGTGTAGTAATACACACTTGTGATCCCACAGTCCAAGAGAGGCTCATTTTGTAATTGCTGAGGATGTGCCTGACCTCATCTCTCAGCGACCTTTGTCACCTGACACCACAGCTTCTTTGACTTACCATTCAGTCCCAATGTAGGAACTCTATCTCCATTGTCACCGTGTCACCGACTAGTGACGGTTTCTCCTACCTCCCACATTCCTCTGGGCCTGAGGCTGGTGTTCTCTTTATGCCCACTGTGGTCTTCCAATGGCCCCCTTTCTCCCTCAGACTGTCTGTCCCAAGGCTGGAGTAGGTGGCTCAGCAGTTACAAGTCCCTCCTTCTCTTCCAGAGAGAATGAGTTTGGTTCTCAATACCCACACCGAGTGTTCACAGCTGCCTGTGATTCCAGTTTTAGAGGATCCACCGCCCTCTTCTGGCCTATGCAGGTAACTGTACCCACATGGTGCACATACAGACCAGCATGTGCACATAAATGAAAATAAAGCATTTTAAATGTCTGTGCCTTTGAGACCATGTCCTGCTCTGTTTTACTCTTCCTTGTTACTGTCCTTCAACAGTAATGTCACTTCTTGTCCCCAGGCAGCGTTGCCATGATTCCAACAGCCAAGCTGTCGACTGACCACCCATCCAGACTAGCTCACAGGTCCTTGGCCTCCTTGGTTGTCTTTTGCTTATTTAGCTAATTAATTTACGTTGTGTGCCTGTGAGTACAGGCACACGTGTGGAGGTCAGAGGCCATTCCAGGAGTCTGCTGTCTCCTTCTACCTTGCTGAGTCAGGGTTTTCCTTGTTTCTGTTGCTCTGCTTCCTGTCTCTCTCCTGCCTGCATCTCTCTGTGGGTTCCGGGGACCGACCTCAGACCATCAGGTCTGCGCAACCAGCACTTTTGCGACTGAGCTGTCTTCCTGCTCTTTACCCCTTGACCATAAAGAACACCTCCACCTCCCCCATCTCTTGTGGGCCAAACAGCAGCGGCCTCTGGGAATTTGTCATGTACGGGATTTCTCAGGCGTCCACTCCTATCTGACTCAGGCACCTCGGGGTGGGGCCCGGCACTGGTCCAGAAAGCGCTGCAGGGCTCCCAAACACGCCGCCGGAGTTTAAATCACTTGCCCGCACCAGTTTCTCGGCTGTCTTTGAGGCTCAGTTCTCTCGTTGGTATCTCTTCCCCTTCCAGTTCGTTTACTCTAACTCCATTGCTCCAGAGATTTATCTGCCGGATGACACTCGCCGCCTGCCCATCCAGCGACTTTTTTCCCTCTGTCCTCGCTCATGACCCGGCTCAGCACTCTCATAGTTTACCGCCTGGAACTTTGACCTCCCCATCTAATCCTCACATGGCTGGGTCGGTCCCCACAGAAGCTGACTCCTGCCTACGCACTAACCCCTGGCCTGCGCCTGGCTGTCACCCTGTACATGCTTCACCGATGACGTCACACTCCCTCAGAGTGACTGAGTGCAGTGCAGCCTGCCCTCAGGCCCTGCACTCATCCCCAGAGACCCTAACCCCTGCCTGAGGTTGGTGTGTCTGGGGACAGGGAGATGGAAGAGAACGGAGCTGGAGCGTACAAGGCTCCACAGTGTGAACGGGAAGCTGTAGGACGCTTGAAGCAGTAGGTGGGACTCATTCTTCAGAACACGCTGCCCTGAGAGTTGGGAGTGGTGGCTCATGCCATAATCTCAGCCCTTAGGAGGCTTAGGCATGAGGGTTGGGGGTTCTGGGCCAGCCTAGGCTATATAGCAAGGCTTTGCCTCAAAGGCAAAAGACATTAACGGGTTGGAGAGGCGGCTCAGTGGTTAAGAGCACTGGCTGCTCTTCCAGAGGACCCTGGTTCAGTCCCTGACACCCACATGGTGGCTCATGTCCACCCATGATTCCAGTTCCAGGGGCTCCAACACTCTCTTCTGGCAAACACTATACACATGAGAGATAAACCTTCAGAAATTAATTATAAGAAGAAGCAACTTGTATGTGGACCTGTGGGCACAGACACATAATCCCAGCCACTTAGGAGGCAGGTACAGAAAAGTGCATGCTCAAGGCCTTAGTGAGACTCTTGTATGAGAGAGAGTAAGTTAGCAGGTCTGGCTCAGTGGTAGGCACTTCCCTAGCAGTATGAAGCATGTGTGAAGCATGTGTGAAGCCCTGGGTTCTGTCCCCAGTATCCAGGGGGAAGGGAAAAGAAAAAGAAATTTTATGAATGAAGCACAACTTGACGCAGTCTGGCCAAGGGATCTCAAGTTGGTTGGGTGTCCGTGCCCTGCCCTATAAACACCACTGAGCTACTGAGGTGTAAATACATCACTTTAAAGAGGATTAAGACTCCATAGCAGAGAGGGCTAAAGGGAGTAACAATAGTAAGGATTTGGAGAGGGCAGGGCTAAGCATGGAGCAGGGATTTGCAGAGAACCCTGGGGACTGCAGACAACCAGCTGCACGTGCGCACACGGAGTGACAGTGACCCGTGCTGAAACCCTGCTATCGTTCCCACACGACAGAGCCCGCCTTGCCGAGCCCCAACACTGGGCTGTCCCCTCTCTGCTGGCCTGTGCCAGCAGTGGGTCCACCAGAACCCTCGGGTATCTGCTCCCTTCGCATCCCTTATCTATTCCTCAAGACCCCTCCCCCAGCCAGGCTTTAGACGTGAAAAATCAACTGCGAAAAAGGGAACTGGAAATGAGGTTGGAGTATACTGAAACGAACAGACATTTGAGTCCTTCAAATCCTTTTTAAAAATAAAACGAATTTTACATGTGAGTGTGTGTGTATACAAGCATGGCACACGCCACTGCACCTGTGTGGAGGTGACAGGGGGTTTGGGGAGTTAGTGTTTCCTTTTCACCATGGGGCTCCAGGGATCGAATCCCGTTACCTGCCGACCCATCTTGCTGGCCCAGTAGAGTAGGGGTTTTCTTATTGTTTTTAAGACCCGGTCTTACCCTGTAGCTGAAGCTCTGTGTGTGTACATGTATGGAGGTCGGAGGACAACCTTCTCAGTTCTCTCTCCTTTCGCCATGCCATTACCGGGAACCAAACTCAAGCTGTCAGCTGATATCTTGATTCTCTCTCTCTGTGTCTTGTCTCTCCCTCCCTTCCTTCTTTTTTCTTTTTCTGTCTCCCTGGCTGTCCTGGAACTCGCTCTGTAGACCAGGCTGGCCTTGAACTCACAGAGATCCGCCTGCCTCTGCCTCCCGAGTGCTGGGATTAAGGCGTGCGCCGCCACGCTTGGCTACAGCATCTCCTTTTGGACAGGTTTTGCTGCAGCTCAGGCTGCAGTCCTATTGCCTCAGCCTCTTCAGTGCTGGGTCACGGGTGTGAATCACACGCTTGGCTCGTAGCTCCTTTAGATCCTGCATTGTCCGTCACTCACTGGACTTAAGCCAGGGTCATCTTTCAACTGAGTGACTGAGGGGCACAGCTCTGTTGTAAAGGGTTAATGTCAGCACCTGCTTTATTGTTACTGAAAATCAGAGGCCGTGTGATTACAACAGCCGCCTGGGAGAGACTGGGCATGGCAGTGTCTATAATGGGCATGTCACATGTGTCCCATCTTCCAGCCATGCTCAAAGCTGGTCCCTTTCCCTGTCTTCTGGGTGCCACACCACTGCCCCAGTGGCGCCTCTAACCAGCTAAGGCTACTTAGTGAATGCCCATGAACCCAGCAGCTGCTGTGTAGACCAGGTAGGTAGTTCCCTGCATCCCACGCGAGAGTAAACTCAGGCTGTGGTGGGGTTAAGCACCGTGTGGGCGCTTACATGTTGAGTCCATTTGACTTCAAAGTCCACATTTCTCTACCAGGCTCCTATTAGTGGAGGACCGCTAATAACTAATAAATAGAGCAAATGGTCAGCCGACAAAGGGGCTCAGGTAGCTGCTTCATGCTTTTATCTGAGGCTTTTATCTTGTGCTATGCAGGTCCATACCTGTGGAGGCCAGAGTAGAAGCAGGATGTGTCTCAGTTGCTCTCCATGTTTCTCCCATTTTCTTGAGTGCACACTTGTACGTACGTGAGCACTTGTGTATGAGTGTGGCCAACAAGGGTGTGCATATATGTGAAGGCCAGAGGTTCACATGGGAAGTCATCTGAAATGATCTGCCTTACTCATTGGGAATGGTGTCTCTCAGAGCTCACTTGACCGTTTTTCTCCAGGCAGCTTGTTGGGGGATCTGGTTACAGGAGAGTTGCCATGCAAACTGCTATCTATATGAGCTCTGCTGCTTTCATGGTAAGCACTTAGCCACTGAGCATCTCTCCAGCCCCTCTACCTTATTGTTGAGACAGGCTCATAGTGAGCATGGAACCTGCCCATTCAGCTAGATTGGCTGGCAGCGAGCCCCAGGGACCCTCCTGTCTCCATTTCCCTGGTGCTGGGATTCCAGGAAGGCACCATGCCGGCGTCTTGATGTGGGTTCTGGGGATTGCTGTGAGCTGTTTCTTTTTCTTAGAGTGATATTTTAAAAGTTCATTTTTACTTGTTGTGTTTGGGCATGTATAGGCATAGGTCAGAGGACTTCCGGGGGGCGGTTCTCTCCTTCCGGGCAGGTTCTGGGGTTTGTAACAGTCTTACCCAGTCCACACCTTACCGGCTCAAGACCTGATTGTATAGGACTGAAAACAACTGGAAATGGATGCATACCCACTGCAGTGTTTGTGAAGATTGCTCTTTGGTGGCAAGCATTTGTCCAATCATGTTTTTATTGTTTATAAAAGAAAAAGCCCCCGGACCTTGGTCTTACGTGTGGGTCTGGATTTCTTTTTACTACATCTTTTGGATACAAGTGTGTCAGATTGCTGCTCTGCTAGCACTAATCTCTCCTGCCTGAGCAGCTAGCTCCTAATCCTGAGGCTGACTCCTGGGGTAAGTACACTTCAGGCTTGCTTTGTGAAGGATAGCCAACACCTGAGCAAAGGTACCAAAAGCCAAAAAGCACAGTTTCAGCCCAGTGTAGTCTTGCCTCACTCCGGGCATCGCAGGCAATTGAATCTCACAGCTAAGTAGGCAGGGCACCTGCCAAACCCTGCACATCTTCCAGCAACTGAAGGGACTTACTTGGGCCTAACAGTACTTCCAAGCCACTGGTTCTATTTAGTCATTGGTACATTGCTACACATATATTCAGGCTGACCGCCTCCTCCAGGCAGCACATGCTAGGCTGCAGAGAACGCCAGACTTCTAACCACTCAGCAGTCAGTTAACCACGGGTTGTTTTGGCAACTTCAAAATAAAAATGGGTATGAAAGCTGTATCACTCATTTTCTAGTGAATGAACAAATTAACATTTATAATTAGGACAAACTAGCCAGGTGTGGTACAAAACCTTAATCCCAGCATTTGGGAGGCAGAGGCAAGAGGATCTTTGTGAGCCCAAGACATAAAAATGAATAATGAATGAATAAAGCTGAATACAATTAGCAAAAGCTAGTAAGTCAGCAGTAATTACTCAAGTGTTTAAATCTGGATCTTTTATTTCAGGTTATACAGAAGTCTGCTAATGTTTGTTCAAACCAGAACACAAGCGACGTCAGGTAGAAACGACCAGATGCAGTGCTTCTTCTGAGACCAAGCCCACCATGCAGGCTTCAGGCACTGCTCAGGGTGTGAGGGCTCCACAGAGCAGGTCAGGCAGCCTTGAGCTCCCCTCGGCTGGAGTGCTCCCTCGGCTGGGGTGCTCTCACACCAGGCCTGCTCAGCTCAGATCCCAGCACAGGAGGCATCCCGAGGCTACGACTTGCTTTCTTCTTTTTCCTCGGTGAGTGTTGACCACATGGGCTCCTTGATGTGTTCTGGCAGCTGCTGTATCTGTGTCTAAAACCAAAACCAAACCAAACTGGAAGACAGCATGGACTGTGAAATAAACTCTGCCTACAACCCAGATCTACTGACCTGACCTGTCACACCCCCCTGCTTCTCATTAATCCCCTGCCTTCAGGGCTCTCAAGGAGAGAGGGGAGCATACAACATGGCATGTAACTGTCTGATCCCCAGTGACCTCCGAGTGAGGCCATCCTGTGGTCAGTCCCCAAGTCTAAACAACTATAAGGGAGACTTCCCAGGTGGCTCCAGGAGGACTTGGGTAGTGGTGGGGTGGACCTAACTCTGTCCCCAGTGTGCCACAGGCCCTCACCCCCACAGCTAGGACAAGGCTTATAGCAAAACAACCCAGCCAGCCCTTGTGAGGCAGGAATTCAAGCCATACCTTTGTTACTTCCATGGCAACCCCTTCGGGTAAATTTCGCTGGATATATTCCAAGTAGACATTGGCTGTGCATCCAGTTAAGTGTTTTAACTAAAACAGAAAAATGAAGATGTCTACCTCAGTATCAGATCACAGATCTTCGAGGTCTCTTTGTCACCCCACCATATTCCCTCAGTGATGAAGCCTGTTCTGAGAGACCTTACACACAATCTTCATTTTTAAAATACATAGGAGTGCTGGAGGGCTTATCAGCTGTGAGCCTTGGCTGCTCTTACAGAGGACTCAGATTTAGTTCCCAGCATCCACACATCGCCTCATAACCACCTGTAACTCCAGTTCCAGGGGATCCAATCCCGTCTTCCGGCTGTAGGCACTGAGACACACAGGTATACACGCAGGCAGGCACTCACACACAAAGACGTTTTCTAAAAAACCCACATAGGAGCCAACAAGATGGCTTAGCGGGTAAAGGCACTGTCCTCTAAGCTCGCTGATAACCTAAGAACAATCCGCGGCACTCACGTGCCAAAGGAGACAACTGGCTATAAGATACCTTCTGACCTCCACACATGGCTTGTGGCATGTGCCCCTATACCCACAAAGAAGTAAATGTTTTGTTTTTGTTTCTAAAGACAGGGTTTCTCTGAGTAGCCCTGGGTGTCCTGGAACTCAGAGACCAGGCTGGCCTGCAGCTCAGGTAACTACCTGCCTCTGCTTCCCCAGTGCTGGGATAAAAGGCATGTGCCACCACCCCCAGCACAAATACATTTTTTCATAAGTATAGATCCCCTGCTTTTTTTCAAAAGAACAGATCCCTTGACAGAACTCGATGAAGGGTGTCAAGTTCAGCCAGTGAGCCCTGTGCCTGTACAGTACTTTCCAGACATGCATATGCTTGTCTGTGCCTGCTGCCAACTAAGACGATGGGAATATTTCAAGTGAGCTACGAAAACCTCATTTCATGTTCCACAAACCTTATGAAATGGGCTCCACTGTTATTCATTCCCAATTTATAAATGATGAGTTGGGGCACACATCACACAGGCAGTAAGCGCCAAGACTTGCAGTCTGGCATCATCAGTCTGACTCTAGAGTGCAACCGTGGATTGTGACAATGCTGACCCGCAGATGCATGAACAAGGAATAGGCAATGTTTGAAAAGTCCCTGCTGAGTGTCACAGTCAGGGAAATCCAGGTGGCATGTGGGAAGAGTTACTACCCGTTCTCCTTAAAACATGCTACGTTCATTCGTGTTCTGCCTCACGTGCACCATGTACAAGGAAGAGTCCAAGGACACTGGGTCCCTGGAACCGGAGTTACAGATGATGGCCGAGAACCAGCGTGAGTGCTGGGAATTGAACTCAGGTCCTCTGGAAAGGCAGCCAGTGCTTTTAACTATGGAGCCAGCGCTCCAGCCCCTTGTTTTGCTTTTTGAGACAAGGTCACTATATGTAGCAGTGTAGCCTGCAGCTTGATTCGGCTCTTCTGTCCTTGTCTCCCAGTGCTGGGATCACAGGTGCATCCTACCACATCTGTCTACAATTGCATAACATCTACTTTTATCATGCTTTTTGTTTTCACGTAGCCCAGACTACTTTTGAACTTGCTGAACACCCAAAGAAACCTCAAAGCCCTGATCCTCCTGCCTCTACCTCCTAAAGGCTGGGATTGCAGGTGTGGGCCCCTGTGTGTGCTTGGGTGAACTGTGCAGAACATTAAACACAACTTTTGAAATTTAAGTCATACTATTCCAGTGCTGTTTTGCTGAGCCTTCACATGCTGAGCCACAGCCAGCCCTGCTGTTCTGACACTACACCACTGTAAAGGATGGCTTGGAGCCTGCTTTTCTTATTGGACAGCGTTCACGGGAACAAAAGCCAGCTTCCAGACCCGAGTGAGGTCACGTTACATGCTTCCGAAAAGTTCTGGGTGTTCCACGGAAGCACGACAGGCCGAAGGGAAGGAAACCCACCTCGAAACATCTGTAGAGCGTCCTCATCTCATACTGAACCCTGTGCTTCTTGAAAATGTGCACCGATTTGAGAAGAGTGAACCGCTCCATCTTCCTTGGCGGCTCATGTCTGAAATGAATGCACACAACATACTTAGGCTCGGTGATGGCACATGTGAGTCACTCATGTCAAAGCACCTTCCACAGCTGTGCAGGCCAGACTCGCTCAATTACAGGCACTAACTGCCACTGACTGACTGACTTCCATTTGTCAAGCCTCATCTGTAACAGCTGCTTTCACAAATCTCAGGCCAATCAAGCAGCGCCATGCAGGAATGAGCACACCTCCTCAGTCCCTCCCTCACGTCCCACGTGCCAGTTGTGGAGAGTGGCAACGGCGCTGGACATCGTCGTGATGTCTGCTGCGTTAGCATAGTTTATGGATACGCTAACAGACAATCACAGAACAGTCTGTTTTGGGAAACAATTTAGTCTCCTGTTTTTGCTACAAGGATAGGTTGGCAATGCCTCAGAGGAGCCCTGTCCAACACCAGAAGGAGCAGGCGCCAAGACGCAGTCCCGATTCACCCTGCCCTGACTTCTAGGCCTCATGAAGCTCGCCTTACTTAGAGCTCCCAGGGAGGTGGTGGTGCTCAAGGTGGCTGCACACAGTGGAGGCACCATCGTGACCTCAGAGCCTCCTTCATGGGGATCACGGACGTCAGTGCAATCTCCAGAAATGCTTTCCTTCATTTTCCTTGTTAATTCATCTAGTACTTAGCAATTCTAGCAGACACGAAGAGACACCACTTCTCAGGGTAACACAGGACAAGCTTCAACTCCCCACAAACTTATCCTGTTTTACAAGCTCAGATCACAGACAGGTTCCTGGCTAATCACATGAGGGCAGACAAAGGTTGGGAAAGGTCATACTCACACGTTAATAGAAATGCCAAGTTCTTTAGCAGTGAGCACGGCAAAATACTCATAACTGTCTAACACAGCCTTGTCATGGGCTTTCACTAAAATGGACAGGCGTTTATACAATGTGTCTGGCTCATCGGAAGTGGCTATCTACAACAAAGAAGAGAGGTTTTGATTTTGGTTGCTTGTAATATTTATAACCAGCAAATGTAATGTATTATTGGTTGAATGACTTCAGTTTACCAATAAATGAGAAAAATGGCAAGCAATGTTTTAAAATTACTAGCTTAACTACTTGTAATGTCACACACATCTGCAAAATGACCTTTTAAACCTGTCAAAATCCACCGAGGATCAGACAACCCTCAATGTCTACAAAAATCACCATGAAAGCCCCAAATTAATTACTACCGAGCTCCAGATTCTACTGAGCTGGTGAGAAGGCCAGCACTGAAGAGCTATCTTCTGGCGGCTGGGTAATGAGAACTGTATTGTCCCTGCTCTTCTGTGTACGTGTGTTTCAGGTTGGGTAATGACACTTGTGCTAAAGCTCATGGCATTTCTGTAAGGAAAAGCTATGCAGACACAAATTAAAGTGCTTATAAATCGCTAAACACTGCTATACAACTGTTAAACACACTGTAATTGTTATACAGAGCCCAGCTAGCTCTATTCATTCTTTTTTATTAGATTTATTCATGTATGGTTGGCCTGTCTTCATACAGAAATTACTCATGTCTAATTAAAATGTTATGACACTGGCTGGACCTTCCACACTAATACCTAAAGACCTTAGAAATAATGGGCTTGACATTTCTGACTTCTTCTAGGAGGTGAATTATCTTCATTTCTTACCCATTAAACCGGTAAATGCTATTACTAATCCAGTGAGTCAGGGTTAAATACCTCACCCTGTAAAGAGAGCTACTTAGCAAACAGGAAGGCAGTCAATTATTCCAAGTTAGACGGTTGGGAAAACAGAATTAATTGACCTCTGATCTGTACATCAAAATTGGGGATGTAGAAAGAGTTTACAGTCTTAAAATTTATTGTTGAACTCTTCTAGGGTTTATCTTATTTACTTATTTTAATTTTTGTGGAATTAGAGAATGCCAGGCATGAACTCTACTACTGAGCTAGCCTCAAGCTCCCCTGTTGGCTTCTAAAGTTATTGTGAATTTGCAACAAATTTCAAAAGATTTCTGGAAATGTTTTGTTACATCATTAGCAATTTTACTTGGAATGGTTAGACATCTAACATTACAAGGTCTGATTTCTTACAGTTCCTCAAGTGGCCAGGGCAAGTAGTAAAGAGGTGATTGTGTGTGTGTGTGTGCGTGCGCGCGCGCGCGCAGCCCAGCACTGTGGCATGTATGTGGAGGTTGTCCAAGGACAACTTACCTGCTCCTACTTGTGGGTATTGAGAAATGAACTCAGGTCAGATTCATGGCAAGTGCCCCTACCCACCTTTCTGGTCTTCTATGTCATTATAACAAAACGTTCTAAGTGCACTGACCTGTGTGCAAGATGTAGCACACATCTGGAGGTCAGAGGACAACTTGTGGGAACTGGCTCTTGTGGGTCCTAGGGATCCGGCACTCAGGATGGCAGGATTAGTGGTAATGGTCTTTACTCGATGAGCCATCTCTTTGGCTGGACAGATTTTGAAACAGGGTCTCTCCCTGAACCTGAAGCTCACTGACTAGGCTAGACTAGCAGGCTGGCAAGCCCTGGAGGTCTCCTTGCCTAATCCCCCTCAGCAATGGAATTACAAGCATGTGCTGCTGTACCAGCTTTTAATGTCTGCTGGGGATCCAAACTTGGGTTCTCATGCATGCATCTGAGCTGGAGGCCAGTATTCATACATACTGCCATGGATAGGTCAATTTCTTTTTTTTCAAAGATTATTTTTATTTTTTATGTACATTGGGGTTTTGCCTGCATGTATATCTGTGTGAGGATGCCAGCTCCCCTGGAATTGGAGTTATAGACATTTGTGAACTGCCATGTGGGTGCTGGGAATTGAACCCCAGTCCTTTGGAAGAAGAGTCAGTGCTCTTAACTGCTGAGCTATCTCTCCAGTCCCAATATTTCTAGTATTTCTTTAATGAATAAAGAAAAAAAGAAACAGTTACATACCATGAATGACACGATTCCATCACACACACACACACACACACACACACACGAATGTATGTATATATGGGCTCACACCAAACTAAAAGATTTTTTTTTTTTTTTTGAAAACAATCCTGATGTGCTGTGCGAATACACACCTTTAATTCCATCATTCAGGAGCCAGAGGCAGGTGGGTCTCTGAGTCTGAGGCCAGACTGGTCTACAGTTTCCAGGACAACCAGGGCCACAAAGAGAAACCCTGCCTTATCATTTTATATGAGGCAAGAGGATTAGGAGTTCAAGGTTATCCTTGGCTACATAGCTAGCTCAAGGCTAGCCTGAGCTAGATGGCATCTTTTCTTAAACTCTGTAAGGCCACATAGCTAGCTACTTGTGTATTCTATTCTCACTGAGCCAAAGGTCTGCATCAGTGTTAACAGAGCACTGCACATGCCCAAGCTCAACATTCTAAAGAAAAGTCTTGAAGGCTACAGAAAGATGGTTTTTCTGTAACATCAGGATTCACATCGTTAGATATTGCACTCTTGAATTATGCTGAACTAAGAGCAGGACAGTGCTCATTACCATTTATTTGGAATAAATAATATATTCCTTTAGGACTTACTCTGCTAGCATGAAAGACAGCCCAGGAGCTCTTCCCAGGGACATCAGACAGTCTGCAGTATGCATTTGCCAGTATTCTAGTATAAACAAGTGCAGGTGTTTGGAAACAGGCAGGAATAAAATAATTAGGTAAAAGAAATGAAACTGTTAACGTAACTCCGTTTGCTGTTGCTGTTTTTTGAGATGGGGCTGCATATAGCCCAGGCAGGCCCTGAACTTGTGATGTGATTGAGGACATCTGACCTCTGCCATGTCCTATCGGGGCACCTACCGTGGGTTTGGCCGGATCCTTTGGAACATCGATGTGCAGGCTGGACGTCGGAGCCCACTTCACACTGGTGCTGCTGTGTGGGGAGAGAGGCCTCAGTCAGTCAGCACGGAACCAGTTTCTACCACAATTGAGCACATCTGGTCCAATACTTACAGCAGGAGGCCACCAGTTTGGGCTGCACTGCTCTTAGAACCATTTACAGACAAACTCCCCAATTCCTAAAAAGAATAGAGGGTCAGGAGTCAGAGATAGTCAGTTCCCAGAGCACTGCTGGTGTCCATGTCTCAGAGGAGGGCAGTGGGCATGAAAATGGCCAAGTAAGAGTCCATCAAAGACAATTCTTATTGTGCTTAGGACCCTGGTTCAGTTCCCTGCACCCACACTAGTACCTGTAGCTACAGGACACCGGTGCCCTCTGGCCTCCATGGGTACACACACAGACAAAGGAAGATCAGGATGATCCCTGAGTTCAAGGACAGTCAGATCTAAAGAGTGACTGTCTCACAAACAAAACAGAACAAAAATCCCTTAAAATTACATGTCTGTGTAATTTAATTTGTTAACAGTTGGCATAAAGCACCTTGCCTGTAAAGAAATACAGCACACACCATGTCCATATCCATCATTACTATGGGGCAAGCAGCCCTAACTCGGCACTGCCCAAACCCTTTTAGTGAGCGCCCCCTGGTGGAACTGTTTTAGGAGGCAAACAGCGCCATTCAGGATGTGTGGTTTCTTAATCCTTTAAACTTTCCTGAGATTGGAAGCAGCAGCAAAATAAAATCTTTAAAAAACACCACAAAGATGGAAATGACTGGGAAGTACACGTAAAGAAAGCGCACTTAAACAGCCTGCACTCGGTGTAGTGGTGAATGAGGACCTGTGAGCTTAAGCCAGCCTGGTCTACATGGCAAGTTCTGGGACAGCCAGGGCTAATAGAGAAACCCTGCCTCAAAGCAAACAAAAAAACAAACAAAAAACAGCCCATGCTTCCGGTTCCGTGTTCTCTACTTCTGCTGTGAGACAACGGCTTCCAATCTTACTTGCAAGAAAGATCATGGCCATTCCTCACTACGCTTACAGTAAGCTCTCCTACACACACAGGCTTCCCAGCACAACCTAGCCTCAAACAGGACAGAGAGAATGGCCTTGGGCGCCTAGTATGTCCGCCTTCACCTCCAAATGTTGGGTGTGAGCACTGACCTAGCTTCAATCTTTGAGGGCTTGGGCGTGTGAGGATCTGGCGAGAAAAAGTTTTTTTTTTTTTTTTTTTTTTTTTTTTTTACAAGTGTAAAGAATTCAGTCTGTAGCATCACAATTTTCTTTAAGACATGTCTACATGTGTATGGGCATGTCTACAGACATGTATGTATGTGCAGGGGCAAGTGTGTGGAGGCTAGAGGGAGCTGCTGGGTGTCACCCTGTTGGTCACCACCTACTTCTTTAAGGAAGGGTCTCTCCCATCCCCAAACTTGAGTTTGCTTGGCTAGTCTGGGAGCCAGAAAGCTTCAGTGCTCCCCGCCCCCCCATGCTAGGGTCACAGGACAGCATGAACTTCTGCTCTGTTCGCTGCTGCCAGGCTGAACCCTCCGTAGGCTGAAGCCCCCCCCCCCCCATCCTCACAGCTATGCAGCACGTCCTTGTGGCCACTGGACACCCCTCTTGTCCCCCATATATTTTTCTCAAGAATGGTGGTTATGAAGGTGTGGCTAGGACCTCTCATGGACCCTGAAGACTTCCAGGAGACCTGAAACCAAAGCTTTTTCATAACAACACTAAGACTTTTCTACCTTCATTCTCTCATTGGTGTACAGTGGACATCCCCATGCTTCGTGAGCTCTACTACATACTAAACACGGGATGCAGAAACAGACCCGAGATAAACACGGAATGCAGAAACAGACCCGAGATAAACACGGGATGCAGAAACAGACCCGAGAATAAAGCTGCTGCTTCGACGAGGTCAGATACTAAAACATTACTCTGCATTAAATTTGCTTTTGCTCTGGCAAACGGTTTTTCTAAAGGGCTAACTACTTATAAGACTCCAAGGCTGGAGTGATGGCTCAGCAGTGGACCTGCGTTCCACTGAAGGCTAAGAGTAGTGCCGTGGCAGAACCTTTGTCTGGTGTGGGCAAGGCACTGGGTTCAATCTCTAGCATGAATCTTTTTGCCTTTTTTTTTTTTCTTTTTTTGAGACACAAGCTCATGGAGGTCGGTCTGTTTTTGAACTCTGTATGCAGCTCAGAATGATTTTGAGCTTCCGATCCTTTGCCTTTACCTCTCAAGCCTGGGCCATGACTTCTGGTTTACGTGGTGCTATGGAACCAAATAAGGACCGCCTTTAGGCATATTAGTCAAGCCTCCAGCAACTGAGCAACATTCTCCACACCTCTTTTTTCATTCGCTTCTTTAGTGTGTGTGTGTGTGTGTGTGTGTTTGAAACAGGGTTTTCTCTGTGTAGCCCTGGCTGTCCTGGAACTCCATCTGTAGACCAGGCTGGCCTGGAACTCACAGAGATCTGCCTGCCTCCGCCTCCCGAGTGCGGGGATGTTTCTTTTTGGAGACATGGTCCCGATAGGCAGACCAGGCTGGTGGCAATCTACCTCCTGCTTTCTAGGTGCTGGTATTACAGTGATCCATCATGTCTAGTTCTCAGCTTAATCTTCAAAACTGCTAAGTGACCACTGATGAGATTCACAAAGGTTGCGATGCGAAAGTTCCTGACAACGCCTAGTTACAGTATTTTCTTTTTTTTTTTTTAATTAATTATTTTGCGACAGGATGTCAATATAATGCTTGGCTGTCCTTGAACTCAGAACTCCCCAGTGCTGCGGACGCCGGGCAGATTTCCTTCTTCCAAGAACCCCCTGAGGGCGCCCTACCCGCCCGCCTCGACCCCGAGGTCAATCTCCAGCCCTGGCGGGAAGAGCGCGGGGCTCAGGTCGTCTTCCTCCTCCCTCCCGCTCTGCCGTCAACCCCTGGTCCTGCCACTTTCTAACAACGCCGACCCGGCCGGGCAGTGGTGGCAGCCAGACCCGGCGCCTGCGCCCGCCGCCCGCCGCCCGCCAGGGCCCGCCCACCCTTACCTGCTGCAAGCGCCTGCACACAGCCGCACACGCCGCGCGCGCCGCCATCTTCATGCCCTGACCCCAGGATCGCTTCCGGGGTCACAACGTTGTCCTCGGACCATAGAGTTCGACAAAGGGAGAGAGCGTCGGCTTGTGTTCCGGCACTGAAACAGCCATAGAAACGTGGGTCTTCGATTTTTTTTTATTTCGACTTTATTATATATTTACTTATTTATTATTCACCCATTCACTTATTTTTTTTGAATGGGTGCGTCGCTTTTGTGGTTTGCATAAACTGGCTTCAGCCCCTACCTAGTTACCGAGTCTTATCTAAATGCTTTTTATCCTAAAATCCTGTTTGCCTTGGATGGTTCAGTTTGGTTAGAGACAAACACAAGAAAACACATGCTTGGAAAGAAATTTACTGCTACTACAGAGTCCAAATTCTAACATGTTGTCTTATTGCAAAAGCTATTTTATTTCTCCATACCAGTTGGAATGCCTGGCTTGTTAATGGAAATTTCTAAGCTTTGTCTTTCAAAATGCCTTCACGTGCAATTCAACATATTGAAAAGCTCTACAGTTAGGAGCTCTGGTTTATATTTAGCTAGGTGACTTGATAAATTTCTTTCCTTCTCTGAACCCATTTTCTCATTTGCCAAGTAGATGTGAGATGATAAATTTTACTTCTAGGAGAGGGTTAAATTAGATACTGGCATAGTGTTTAGTACAATACCTACCACATGATAAATGCCATCATTTGTCACATAGATCTGTGTCTTGGGTCTTAAGAGGCTGTTGGGGGATGAATAAGGATCAATTTAATGGCAAGCTTACATAGAATCTCAATAAGGCACCATGCATGTATAAGTGTGTCTCCCACAAGTAAGAATTGGTCACCTAATTTGGCAGACAAGAGAACTAAGCAAAGGGTAGAAAGAGTTGGTCCAGGTAGCGCAAACTGATGAACGATCGATCGTATGAAGCACTTGCCCGCCTCTCAGGCTGGCCTCTGTGGAGGTATTTCTATGCCTCTCCGTGGAAACGGAGTCTTCATTATACTTGGCTGGATTTGGCTATGCCCTACCTGGGCAAGCAATGCAGAGGCAACCTCCTCAGGATTAAGCTCTCTGTAATTCAGGTGGTCCCGCTCAGCCAATGGTCTGTTCTGGCAGTACCCCAGCCTTCATCTCCCTGCCGCTTCTGTCCACGTGGCACCTCCAGGAAGGCTCCTCGGCCAGCCTCTTGCCCTTCTGAGTGGTCTCAGCTAGGTCAGCGTGCCGCACCCATAACGATGGTGACAGAACAGCTTGAAATGGTTTTCACTTAGGTTACCTAATCTCATCCTCACGAAAATAATTGTATCTTAATTTTCAGGTGAGGAAGCTGAGGCTCAGAGATGAGTTGACTTGGCCAAGTTCGGATGGTGAGTTACAGCTGAACACACAATCATTTTCATAATCCTAGAGCATCCACCCGCCCCTACATCCACGTCACAGGGAAGAGGCACCTGTCTCTATTGACTTGGTGGCACGATCTGCTAATTGGAACCGGAGGGGTGTGTTCTAAGCAGCCTTAGGACTGGCGCCCCCCCCTCCTCAGAGGCCTTGGCCTCTCTCTTGATGGGCTCTTTCAGCTGAGATTCGGTTTACCCAGGCCGCTACATGTGATCACTGCAGCAGCTGCCTTTGGTTCATCAGGGTTCTCCACGTCTGTGCTCAAATGTGGGCGCTTACTGAGATCCCCTCATTTTCCTCGCGGAAGTCTTACATCTCGAAGCTGTGTTTCAGGGTGAGGCCACAGGGGCAAGTGGGTAACCCCGCACAATCAACTGGAACAAGGTGGGAGCCGCCATGTCTAAATGAGGGTTCCTATTGCTACCACAAAACACCACGGCCAAAACAAACGTGGAGAGAAAAGGATTTATTTGGCTGACACTTCCGTATCACAGTTCATCATTAAAGGGAGTCAGGCCAAGAGCCTGGAGGTCAGGAACCTGGAGTCGGGAGCGGATGCAGCATCATAACCGTGGAGGGTGCTGCTCACTGGCTGGCCCCTCATGTGTGCACAGCCTGCCTTCTTACAGAACCAGGGCCACCAGCCCAAGGGTAACCCCACCCATACTGTGCGGGGGGGGGGGGCCCACATCAATCACTAATTCATACCCTATCGGCTTGCCTATGGCCCAGGCTTAGGGAGGCCTTTTCTTAATTGAGGCGCCTTCCTCTCAGATGACTATACTTGTGTCAAGTGGACAGAAGACTAACCAGCACACACTATGCAGGAAAAAGCCAGGTTTTGCCCGCAGTAGAGCTGGCACGACAGGGTCAGCCACTTTTACATTCTGTATGAAACATACAGGAGTTGGCACATACATGGTGTTATGAGCTGAGCACATACAGACTGATAACGGTTTGCTTGTTCTGTGTTTACTTTTCCTCCCATCCCAATGTCCCTGGGAGAGGTTTGATACTGACAGACACTAAGTAGATTCATGGTATTTCCCCAATATATTTTATTTATTAATTGTGTGTGTGTGTGTGTGTGTGTGTGTGTGTGTGTGTATGTCAGAGGACAGACAACTTTTGGGAAGTGGTCCTCTCCTCCTATCATGTGGGTCCTGGGGAATCGAACTCAGGTTTCCAGGGTTGGCAGCGCGAACCTTTATCTGCTGAGTCGTATGTTGGTGACCTTTACATTCAGTGTTTGGGGCTGAAGATCCATGGAATAAGGAAGGGAGTGCATGGGGTGATAATGAGAGGTATAGACAGCGCAAATCTCAGAGACCTGGCTGATGGCTGCCCAGAGGGGAGAGCCTGCCCTCTGAGTGACAGACTGCCTTTGTCCCCCATATGATCTGCTGGTAAGAGGTGAGACATAAAGTCAGTTTGAGGCTGTTAGGCAAGTCCCTTCCATGGGACAGCTCTCTGAATGAAGTGCAGTTTTAAAGATGCAATTCTTGTCTATGCTCATGGATTCTTTAGGCCACAGGCAGCAGGTGGGTCTGGAAACTCTGTGTTTGGACAGGACCCTTGGAACATGCAGCGCTCTGAGCCAGCAGCGTTCTGAAGCTAGGTAGTTACTGTAGTTCCCTTTCCGACAGTAGGAACTCTTGAGAGGAGCAGGTCTAGAGAGTTCCTGCAGGGGCACCTTGCTTTGGGCCCAGAAAGCGGGTGCAAGCACTTTCAGCTTAAGTCCCATTTTGACTGTACCAGTTGTTCTGTTTTTAAAGAGAGCCCTCTTCAAAAGATTCATTCTCTCCCTTTATGCATGCACGTATGTATGCATGTATGTGCCGTGTGCATGTGTGTCCCCCGAGTGTTATGTCTTGGATTTCAGGAGGGTTATGTGTGTGTGTGTGGGGGGGTGCCATGTCCTGAAGGTCAGATTATAACTCAGCAGTTGGTTCTCTCCTCTTACTTTGTGGGATCTAGGGATCCAGCTGAGGTCATTAGGCTTGGTTCCTCTCTGTCCACTGAGCTATCTTTTTCTTTTTTTCTCCAGGCTAATGATCATTTAATATTTTAACAAGTTCACTTATAAATGTACCATATGGACCCACAGGGAGCAAATAGGCTCTGTAGACACCACAGAATAACAGAAACACAAAAGCAATCACAAAGATTGCCTGTGTCCTCTCCTTTTCATCTACGTAAACTAGAAGGCAAACCGAAAGGTTACATAGGAGCAACAACACATGTAGAAAGTCTGGATCATCCTGTCTCAACCGCAGAACCTAATCTCCGGAAGGCTACCATGGGTACTGATGATCTAAAATATGCAAATTTGGGCTTTCCAGCTGAGCCATCTTACCATCTCTTTCTGTGATACAATCTTGTGTTGCTCAGGCTGGCCTAGAACTCACTATGTCAAGGTTGGCCTTGAACTGCTGACCCTAGCGCTTCTACCTCCCAGGCACTGGGATCATAGGCATGCACCTCCATGCCAGCTTTGCCTCCCTTGCATGAAGGAAGCAATCTACCCTTCCACAGCTTTTGTTGTTGTATAGCATTACTAATTTTATTTTTCCCGAATACTTTTACAGTTCTTTTACGTATAGACATCTGTGATCCACAGATCATGTCTGCTTCTCTTATGCGTGTATTATTCAGTTTCTTAAAATACCTTCCTAATTATATTCTAATTAAAACCCCACCTGGTTGCCTAGAACACACATCTCAGCTGACTGGCTGTGCCTGGGGAATCTTATGCAGAGTGGCTCCTGGGGACTGAGTGAGTGCAGTACTGGGTCTGGAGTCCTGGGCCCTAGAATCCGACTCTGGTCACAACCCTAGCAGTGTGTGTACTGCAGCTGGATCAGCTGCTTTATTTTTATAAAGGATCATCTAAAAGAATGATTAAAGTTAAAAAAAAAAGCTCCACAGAAGAATCAAGGTGCTGACTGAGGGAAAAGTGTAAAACACAGACTTTCAAATTTCTTCTCAAGTAAATGCATATAAAAGTTTGGAAATCCATATTAAAATGCAAATAAATCAGGTGGACACAGCTGTTGTTGAGGACTTACTGCAAGATTCTCTCTCTCTCTCTGTGTGTGTGTGTGTGTGTCTTAGGGGGGAGGAGTAGAGGATCTCACTGTGTAGCCCTGGCTGGCCTGGAACTCACTATATAGACCAGCCTGGCCTCAGACTCTCAAGAGATCTGCCTGCCCCTGCTTCCAAAGTGCTGGGATTAAACACCTCTTGGGTGGCACAGTTTGGAGAATGCTCCATCTTCAAGTGGCTCCATCTACTACTTGAGGAGCCATGGTAAGTCCTTGTTTCCCTGGACAGGAACACTTTACTGAGTATAGTATCTGCCCAGCAGACCTAAACCCACAGAAGTCACTGGACAGGAGAGATATCGGAGCCCCCAATGACCCCAGGTGGCCCAAAGAAGGAATGTGTGAGCGGACTGAGGCTCAAAAGGTAAGTTTATTTCAGGGCAGCTGATTCAACACCGAATTATACTTCACAAACAAATATGATTGTGTATTTGGTTATACTACTCCCAGTAAGTGGCCATCTGTGGGGGCAGTCAGGGTTCTGGAACTCTCTCAATAGTCTCCTGTTCCCCTTCTTCAAATGCATTGTGATCATTTAAAAAAAGAAAATCAAAACAAAACAGCACAAGTCTTACCATCGGAGACAGGAGACAGTGTAGGACTGCCCCAACAGCACGACATCCAGGACACTTGAGAACACCATCATCATTATTTCAATTTAAGGAATGCACCTTTTAAGGACAGGTCTGTAAAACATCTTTATTCAATTGTCACATATGATGTTTAAATAGAACTTTGCTTTCCAGATTCAAACTTTATTTTTTAAACCCTGGAAAATAAGACTTTTGGTTTACCTTAACAAAAAACTGACCTAGGAAGAAACATTTTTAGCAAAATGTTATTATAAAAATTCATAGAAAATACTGTCCTATTTATTTTTTTTTTTTTGTTTTTGCTAAATTTTACATAAACTCCTTAGTAAAAATACACACATTACAAAAGAAAAGCCATGAGCAGACTACACAGCACTTTGCTGTGGACTGAGGGAGCTGCACTCTGGAAACATACAGTTAAGCACATTGGAAACTATGATGTGAACTTAGCACAGTGCAAACCTGAATGACACCCTGAAATGAAGGCATGCAAGAACACGGCGGAGCAAAAGCAGGGCAGGAAGCAATCACAGCCACTACTGAAAAACGTTTCCTTTTTATTACATTAAGTTTTTTCAAAAATACTTTTCTTTACAATAGAACTCCTAGAAAATATTTACAACCTTCCTCTAATAAAATATAACAGCAGTTAAATATATTTGAAAATAAGATGGGTTTTTCCATAAAATATATCTGTTAACTTTTTATATACAAGCTTTCTCAAAGGAGTCTAAGTTCATTACTGAAAAACCATCGCGTCAACTAGGAGCCATGTGAAGACATTAACCATTGGGAAAAGAAGTTCTTTGGGGCTGCAGGGGTGGAAGAAAGCTAAAACACAACGCGCACATGCAGGTAGAGTCATTTCCAGAAAAAAAAAAGTGCAATATTTTAATAGGAAGTCAATTACTTAAGTTGATCGCCGGGAAATACTATGTGAGTTGTCTTATTGAGGAGGAGTTCTTTGGTTGTTTCAAGTCAAAATATTCCTTATGCTATACTGTATGGGAAAATTAAAATAACATTGTGCATTGGATATTGGTGGTGGCAGGGCAGTTTATTTCTAAGGGTTCAAACTGGGCAAATCCTCAAGCAGAAGAGCATGGACTTCCTAAGGCTCTTTTGCGTGGCTACCTTTCCAGACATACGGGCAGACAGGGCCTTGTGGTCTGCGGCTGAGTGGCAGCTGGATGGGCCTGAAAGGAAGCTAGCTCATGCAGGGTACCCAGGCATTTTAACTCAACACTTCTGAGATCATACACAGGCTACAGTAACCCACTGAAACAATAGCAAAGGAAACACCCCCACCCCACCCCACCCCGGAAGGGTCTCAACATAGTTCTAAAAACAAGGTTGGAAAGGAAAAGAATCTTTGAAAATAGTCTTGTTTGTGGCCTTCCTGAGACTTAGAAGCCACGGCCTGAGTGGGGGCTGTGGTAGGCCATGGTGCCCGGTACCCTGCCCCCTGAGTATGTGCCAAATGGTTTTGTAGAATCCACTGTGAAGGATGTCCAGCCCCACTCCTCCACTGGGATGCTCTCTAATGCCAAGCTCATCAGGGGCCAGCACAGTGGCCCAGCATGACAGCTATACCTACGTATACCTACATAGTCTACTCAAGGAGCGTTAAGACCCGAAGACACCTGGCCTGGAGGCCACAGGCGTGAACACAGAAGCGGGCTGACAGGGGCTCCTTGTACCAGGGGCAGGGCTCCAGTCTGGTGCTCTGACAGTGGGAGGGGGTCAGTCCAACTGAGCCCCAAAACCTGGGCAATGACAGTTTTGAAGAATTACAGGTTTATTGCCTTCAAGTACAAATGGCGCCCCCTGCTGTCAGGGGCAGAGCAAAGTCATGTAGCTTAGAGAAGTCTACAATTGCTTTGGTAAGTGACTTGTAACAAATACATTCAGTATTTGTAAGCACTGAATCTGAGCCCATTTTTGTTGGCTTTCAAAGCAGTTTCCAATGCATCTGCTATTTCTATGTGTTAGAAAACTCTATCTCTGCAGCTACCATCTAGGCAAACCTCAGTCCAGCACACACAATGTAGAACAAATGGGAGTGAAAAGTTTTCACAGTATGTTCAAGTGGTACAAAGTAAGTTTAGAACTCCACTGGCCAGAAACCATGTTGAAAAAGAAAAGAAAGAAAGAAAAAAAAAAAAAAATAGGTTCTGACCCAAGAGAAAGGATGCTTCCTTACAGATCAGAGCAGAATAAAAATAATCTTTGATTGGAAAACATGGCCTAAAGTCCCAGCATGGAATGGGGTAACCTGCTTACTACACACACACACACACACACACACACACACACACACGAGCGAGCGCACATGCGCACGCATACTACTCATGCACGTGCGCGCGCGCACACACACACACTCCACACTCGTGTATGCATACACTCACAGCAAGTTTGGAGATAAAAGGCAACCAGGGTGGCTGACATCTGAAAGCAAAGCAACAGTAATGTGAGGCTCATCCCCGTGGGTAATGGCCTTTCGAGAACACAGCCCAGATGAGACACCTCTTAAAGATAGTTGTGCCAATTTTTTATTCCCCCCAACCCCCAACAAAAACAATTTAAAAGAAGGTAAAAGAGAACTGAATTTCCCCCTCCCTTAACCTGAAGAAAAGGACCACTTTTTAAACAGGTAGTTTAAAAGGGTTTCAAAGGAGCAGGAAGTCCAGGTTTTCCTGATCAGAGAGGGTGGAGGCCGTGGCGTCTGTGTCTCTAGGTGATGTACGGGTGGCTTAGAGTTCTGTATCACCCTGAAGCAAAACCGAATCTTGGTCATCCAAGAGAAGATCTGTGCCCACCACCTCGGCCTCATCCATGACCCCTAACTGCTGGACCACATCGTCGTCCAGGATGTCCACGTCCTTGACCGGCTTCATCAGACTCAGCTGGTCCAGGGGCAGCAGCTCAGGCCCCCCCACCGGCCCAGTAGTCCTCTCGATGGTGGCTGCCATTTCTGCCGCGAAAGCGGCCTTCTGAGCCTTCTGCCTCTGCTGCTCCTCTTGCTGCCGGTGAGTCTTCATGTGTGCATTCCGGCTTTTGATCTTGAAGAAGACCCTGAAAAGGAGGAAGAGAGCAGCTTGTGAAGACTCTGGGGAGATCTTAGTTCCCGGAGATAAAGATAACCATTTCCTGCAGGGACCGGGGGATACAGGTCGCTGCTCTCGTCTGCCAGTCATCCCTCCCAGTAGTGTTAGGAAGAGGGATGGCGAGTCCTGTTTCCTTCCTGTGCTAGTGGACACCCAAAGGCTGTCCTGTATCCCGGCTAGCAGGTGCCCTTGCCTCTCCTTTGGCCTCCTCCTGCTCCCATCACAGACAGCACCCCCTACACTGGAGAAGCCCAAATGTTGCTGATGAGCTCTGATGGTCCTTCTATACGACAGGCCGTCCCTTACCCCTGGCTTCTGGCCCTCTTGTCTGTCAAAGACCACCAAGGATGTCCACACACCCTTGGGCTCTCCTTTTCATTCCGCTTTTTCCAGTGAGGCTCTTGTGCCCTCCGCTTTGACTTCACTGAACCAGTAACCCTGTGTGGCCAAGTCCCATGGCCTTTGTTGTGCTGGGCTGCCAAGCTCCATCTACCGCTCCTTTTCGCTGCAGACCCCTCTTGTCCACCACCATAATTATCATAATTTCACACTGTTTTCACCTTCCTCCATTAGCTGTTGTTTTAAGTTATATGTGAAGGGACAGAGATTAAAAAATAGGTTTTATCCCGTGAGTGAGCTCTAATCAACCAGATGTGCCAGCTTGTATTGCTATTCGAAGGAGAGGACGCCTTGTCTTAACGTGGTGTTAGAAAATGTGGTAACTGATTAGTGATGTCTGCTGCGGGCAGAGGCATGGGCAGAGAAGGTCTAGCTGTACATTCCATGGGTGGTTATCAAGGGGAGTCCTGAGAGTCTGGGTTTTTTCCTAGTTGAAGACACAGCCCCCACAGGACAGCCATTCACTGTGACCCTGGGTTTGGTCCCTGGTTCCAGTGTACCTACTTGCCACATTCCTTGCAGGGGAAGATAGTGGTGGGGTCCGTCTCTCCACTGGTGGTGCTGTGCGATGGTGAACTCTTTACTGAGCAGTACCCGCTCTGAGTGCCACCTGGCTTCTGCTTCCCAGAGGGGACGGCACCTCGGGTCTTGGTCACCTGGTTGGTGCCGCCATGGATGCGGGCGTGGCCATTCAGTGCCTGTCGGGAGCTGAACACCTGAGGAAGAAAGGGAGTCACATGACATCTACAGTCCTGAAAAGGAAATCAGGGTTGTTAGTTACTCGGTGGTAAAAACATATGATACACGAAACAACACACGGTTCATACAAGCAAACACTGGGCATGTGCCACAAAAAAGCAAAGCTCAAATACCCCCACCACAAACTGTCCACTGGTCTAACCTGAGCCCAAGACAGTATGGCTCAGTACCAAGGACAGCGCTATCGTCCTGGCGTCAGGAGACCCAGTGTCTAGCTCTAACTTCTAGTACCTACTTGGTACCATTTTACCCCCATGTGTAAAATGAGAGGAGTTGGAGTGTCCCTCAGCAGCCCATTATTTTAATCCTTGTTGCTCTCTGTGCTGGGGATGGAACATGGGCCCCACACTTGCTAACTGAATGTTCTTACTTTGAGCTACACCTGCAACCCACGTGCACCGCAGAAGCCATGTTTAAGACCCCCAATCAGGATTAAACAAGGGACCAGGTTTTCTTGTAGTTTTGGAGACAGGGTGTCACTCTGCAGGCCTGGCTGACTTGGAACTTAGCATGCAGAGCAGATTGGTTCTAAACACATGCCAATCCTTCTGAGTGCTAGAATTGCAGGTGTGTGTCACAATGCCTGGCCAGAAATATGCAGACCAGTGACTTTGTTTGTTTGAGTTAGAGACTCAATCTATAGCTCAGGATCAATTCCTTATCCTCTTGCTTTTATCTCCCAAGCTCTGGGAGTGCAGATGTCTGCCGCACACGGGCTGATTTTTCAAACATCCACACAGAACAGGGCTTCCTGGCCTCAGAATATGGTGGACAGTTGGGAACAGTCCTGTGCACATCAGGGTGTTCAGTGGCCTCTGTGGCCTCTACCCGCCAGATGCAGGTCCCACCTTCCCGGGCCTTACAGACCAAATTATCCTCTGTCCAGAATCTCTGAATTACAAGGCTATAATCCACATCCCTAAATCCTACAATCCCTTTTTCCATCTTTCCAGGTTTAGGAGGCTTCTCATGTTCAGCTCACGGGTCCTTTTTATTGTGTTACAGAAAAACAAATCTGATTCTGACTTATTGAGGCTAGCCTCCATTGTTAGGCATGGTCATCACACCATCCTTGATGGGATTTAAAAACTCATTAAGAATTGTCTATCTTTTAGAGCATATCTGATTAGGCAAAGTAAAAGATGACCATCCCCCCTGCTTGGTAAAAAACCCCAAACCCAAACATTTACCCTAAAACCACGAATTAAAAAAACACCCAATTTCTGAAAAAAAAAATTTACTAAGAAACAGTGTCACTTAAGGTCACATCTTAATCAACTCAGAACCAAAGCGATGTGGGTAAAATGGCAATGGTGGACTGCTGAGGCCAGGCCATTAGTGACCCTACATGGCCATTTCTCACATCCTCTGCACAGTGAGTGGAGAATGTATACATTTCTGGTTTTCTTTTTTAAAAAGCCTTTTCATTTTTGAAAAAAATGTAAATACAATGAATTTCAGTATTAGTACACAAACATTTAATTTATTTATTTTGAGACAGGATCTCACCACATAGTCCTGACTGGCCTCAAGCCAGAGAAGCCTGCTTCTGTCTCCAGAGTGCTGGGACTAAAGGCATGAGCTACCTCTCCGGCCAGGATATAAAGACTTTAAAGACTTTCTTTAAATAGTAGACTTCATTAACAACATTCAAATTTTGCACTAGGCAAGCAAAGATGGGCTCGGGGACAAAGATGTTGTCCTGGGGAGGGAAGGGCACCCTCGTCTGGGGGGGTAAGACCTCTGGAAATTGTCTATACAAGTGTGTCAGGCTTTAAGAAACCTGATTTGGGAAAAATCCCAGTAGTTCAGACTGGTGGGGACTGGCAGAGTGTACCCAGAGTCCTTGCCAGGCAGTCTAGGATATGTGGGGCCTTAGATGACACTCAGGGGTTTGAGGCCCCCCATTCCCTTTTAGCCTGCTCACACCACTAATTTGCTTAGTGAATTTCTGTTCCCTCAGAGTGCAAAGAAACAACTTTCTCAAATGTCACACCAGTGACACTTAAATTAGAATTAGTGACACTTTATAGAATATGAAAGCTAAACCTTCCAGATAACAAAGCTGGAGATGGTTCAGTCGAGTCACTGTGTTATAAAAGGGAAACCCTGGCGGGCACTTCTAGTGAATTTAAGTGTACGTTGACAAGATAAACCTGGCCTTTGGTGACACATAGTCCAAGAGCCTGCAGAGAGCTATCAGGAAACAGTATAGCAGACAAGTGTCCCTTCTGGACAAGTGTCCCTTCTGGAGGCCTGCTCTCACTATGGAGCTGTCAATCACACACTTCCCGAAGGCAGGGACCTTTCTGTTTTTTGCCTGGAGACTAGGTCTCACTATATACCTCAGGCTGGCCTCAAAGTCTCAATTCCCCTGCCACAGCTTCAGGAATGCTGGGATTGCAAGTCTGTGCCCCCACACTTGGCTTGGGGGGCCCCATGTCAATTCCCCAGCATGCATCATCATGCTTGACAGAGAACACACACAGTCACTCTCCCTGGGCCAAGCTCTTTAAGAAAGTGACAGCTACACGGTGTGACCCCTGCCAGATGTCCATTGCTCTTAGAACTAGGCACAGCTGTATGACCCTCACGTCTCCCAGAGCCAGGGACAACACAGATACTTACAGCCCCACAGTTGGGCATTTCACAGATGAAAGAGCCTGATGGCTGGCCAATGGCCTGCATGGGTGGCCCTTCAGTGGGAGCCAGGGCAGGGACAGGTGGTGGCTCTGGTGACTTGGGCACTTCACTCTCCTCTTCTTTTATGGATTTCCTATCTTCCTCTGGGTCCTCCTCTTCCTCCTCTGCCTCTTCTTCCTCTTCACTGGTCTGGTGTTAATAAAAGCAAGAAGGGAGTTTTTAGTGGCAGACAAAAATCGCAAGCCAGGAGGTCGTGGGACACTGGGGCTGGTCTCTGGACATTCGGGAACTTGCGGTCAAGAACGCTCCCTACTGCAGGCTGGGTGGCCATGACCCCTTACAGAGAAGTCATGCTAAGGCAGAGGGGAGAGAAATGAAGAGCATCTGCCTAGGTGTGGGAGACAGCACAGTGGGTAAGCGCTTGCTGCACAGACAGGACGGCCTGAGTCCCTGTCCCCAGATAAAAGCCAGCCAGGTGTGTGGGTGCCTGTAACACCAGGGCTGGGAGGCAGAAACAACAAGGTCCCTGTAGGTTGCTGGCCAGCCCATCTAGCGGAGAAGTTAAGCTCCAGTCTCATGGAGAGACCCTATCTCAGAAATAAGGTGAAGGGCAGGGAGCTTGCTACTCTTTCAGAGGACCTAAGTTCAGTTCCCAGCACCCATGTCCCAATCGCCAGTAACTCCAGCTCCAGGCGATCTGATGCCCTCTTCTGGCTTCCTTGAGCACTGCACACATGTGGTACATTTATAAAGCTACATATACACATACACAAAACTAAAATAAGGGCTGGAAAGATGGCTCGGCAGTGACCAGAGTTCAGCTCTCAGCACCCTCTAGGTGGCTCTCAAACACTTGTAACTCTATTTGGAGAGTATATGAAGTCCTCATGTGGCCTCTACAGGTTCCTGTATGAATGTGGTGCACATACATAATACACATTCAGGCCCAGAACGCAAACACAGAAAACAATAAAATAAACCTTATATTAAGAGCACTGGCTGTTCTTGCAGAGGACCCAGGTTCAGTTCCCGCCACCCCACATGGTTCCAAGGGCTCTGATGCTTCTTTTGAATATGTGGGTGAGCCATCATACACTGGTAAAACATACATACACAGTAAGACATCAAGGTTACAAGTTATTGAGCAGTACCGTATGGGTGGGGCTGGGAAAGAATTCAGGGATTAATGTGATTTATTTTTATTTATGTGTATGTGTTTAAGCCTGCATGCTTTTATGTGTACCACCTGTGTGCCGGTACCCAAGGAGGTCAGAGCATGCAGTTCCCTGGAGATGGAGTTACGGATAGTGATGAGCTGCCTAATGTGGGTGCTGGGTACCAAACCTGGGTCTTCAGCAAGAGCAGTAAATGAGATGAGCCATCTCTCCAATCTTTTTATTTCTCCCTTTTTAGACAGGCTTTGAGCTTGCTATATAGCCAAGGCTGCCCTTGACCACTGATCCTCCTACCCCTATCTTGCAAGTGCTGGGATTATAAGCCTATTCCCCCCCCCCCCTGCTTCTTAAGTGATGGCGTACAGACTTGCATCCCCATGCCTGGCTAACACACAGGGTTTTAAGGAGCTCTCACTTGCCTCTGCTCTATGTGCCCGGGGTAGAGTAGGGTGGCTGGCTCCTGCATGCCCAGAAAATGGCTGAGCATCAGGACACAGGAATTCTGACAGAGCATTTTTGTTCTGATTAGATTTTTACCATTCACAAGAGGTTTGCATATTTATTATGCCACAGAACAGCCTGTAAACAGTACAAACGAGGAAGTAAAAGGTATGTCCAGCTGTCTTTACCCAACAGGCCATTTGTCTCTGCCAGGCCCTTCCGTACACTACTGTTTATAGCAGGCAAGCTCCAGTTAACTTGTCCCCTGAGCCATGAAGCTCTAGGCAAGCTTTGATTCTCAGAATCTAGAAGCAAGAATTTCCAAGAAGAATAAAGATTTCTGAGAACAGTGGTACCCAGAATCCAGAAACCACAAGTTTCCTCTCTCATGTGTTATTTTATTTTTATTTTTATTTTTTAAAGAAGGTCTCATCACTACATAACTCTGGCTGGCCTAGAACTCACTAAGTAGACCAGGCTGACTTTGAACGTACAGAGATCCACCTGCCTCTGTTTCCCAAGTGCTGGAATTGAAGGTGTGTGATACCACACCTGGCGTTTGATTGTTTTTTGTTTTTTTAATTACGGGTATATTTTTGTATGTGGACATGTGCATGTGGGTGTCTGGAAGCCAGGGGCTTCAGATCTCCTGGAGTTGGAGGTAAAGGCTATTGTGAAGCACCTAATATAAGTGCTAGGAATCAAACCCAGGTCCTCTGGAAGAGCAGCGAGTACTCCTAACCACTGAGCCATCTCTCCAGTTCCTCCTCTCTTCTTCCCCCTTTAAGACAAAGTACCACTCCATAGTCCAGACTGACCTAAAATTCACTATGTATGTGTTCCAAGTTGGCTAGCGCATGGCTCTCTTGTGCCTTTACCTCCTGAGTGCTGGGATTACAAGCGTACAATACCATATGTAGCCTTTCTGCAGTTGTGATCTAGGGGAGGGTTGTGGGAGAATGATGGAGATGATACCAGCCAACCTGAGGCAGTTACCATGTTTCCCTGTCTCAGTGCTAGTCACAGGTAACACCACAGAGACGCATATTCAAGAGGCTGCACTGGCAAGGCATGTGGAAGAAATGGCCAGTTTCCAGTCAGTTAATTGACCAAGTAGTAATGATTATGCGGTCAGTACAAACTGACACAGGTCCAGCACCTACTGTGGAGTAGGTTCTAGAATAAGGCCCCTTGTTAGTTCAGAACACATAGGCTGATTTTACACATGGCCTTCTTCCTGTATGCACCCATCACCTTTCAAATCCAGAGTCTCAGGCAAAACGGTGGATGCCTACTTTCAAAAAACCGGGGCTTTGTAGTCTCAGCTCTTAAGTGGACTCTGGTCTCCAGTTTGGCATTTATGAAACATGCTTCATAATAAAACTTTTGACAGCAATGGCATTTGTTCCATGGTACTTACTGTAATTACAGTTTTCTCACAATAATATATATTGGCGTAAGAACTCCGAAGACACATTTCATGTAGCCAGAGTTACAGACTGAATTCTACCCTACGGTTCTATGCACATCTTAGAAATTCAGGTGGATTTTTATTTCAGTCGGCAATCTGTACAAGTTCACAGCGTATTTATCACCAAGACTCGTGACTCAGAGATGCAGAGATAGGAGGCCAAACCCTGGCATGTAGCACTCTGCAGCTACACGTCGGTCATTTTATGATGCATGGCAGATGGAAGCACTCAGAATGACTTCAGATGGAAATCAGGCGAATGCGGGGAGGGAGGAGGAGATATATACACACAGACATATATCTATACACAATATAATTGTATGTGTATATGTGTGTTCGTGTAAGTGTATGTCACTAGCATGCCCTGCCTGCAGAAGACAGAAGACGGTGTTAGATCCCCTGTATCTGGAGTTACAGACAATTGTGGGCAGTGTTCTGTGGGTACTGAGAATAAAATTCAGCTCCTCTGGGAGAGCAGCAAGTGCTCTTAGCCCTCCAGCCTGAGGAACATGGTGCCTGCCTGACCCTTGATTGTGCATACCAAGAGCTCCTTGTGGAGGATGCCACTTTTATATCCATGCTTCAAGAAATGGGGAATCTGGAATACAGACTTTCAACCCGAATCTGCCAAAGACTTACATTTAAGTGTCGGGGTGCTCTTGACAGCAATGAAGAAAATATGTTAAGGGTGGGGTGTCAATCAGCTCCCTCCCCTACCCCCAGAAGACTTCTGATTCTCCCAAAACTCTGTATAGATTTCTTTCTTAAGCAAATCAGAAAGTCAGCCAGATAAGTCATTCCTAAGCTCATACAGCTGACAAAGAAATTGAACTGAGGAGCTGGGAAGATGGCTCAGTTGGTAAAGTGCTTGCTTTGCAAACGTGAGGACCTGAGTTCAAGTCCCAGAATCTACTAAAGAAGCTTGGCATGGTAGCTTATGCTTGTAATCCCAGAACTGTGAGAAGATAGGGAATCACTTGACAGCCAGCCAAATCTCTCTAGCTAGCTCTGGATCCCAGGGAGACCAGGACTCAAAAGTAAGGTGGGAGGCACACTTTCCTCCGATCTTCCTCTAAGAGAGGAAGGGCCGTGATGGCCCAGGCTGGGCCTCACACTGTCCTGCTGACCAAGTGATTGTGCTGCACCCACCCAACTATCCTCAGAACTGACCCTTTAGGTCTCTGAGCTTCCTCAGTGAGCCCCTTTGTATTTCCCCTGGGAGAAATGCTCACTTGCCTTTCCTTCTTTATGCGTGTGCGTGCATGTGCGTGCGTGCGTGCCTGCCTGTGTGCATGTGTACTCATCCACATACCAAGACCCTTGTGTTAAGGTCAGAGAACAACTTTTAGTAGTGGGTTCTCTTCTTCCATCTTGTGGTCCCAGTGATTGAACTCAGATCAGCAGTCTTGGCAGCAAGCACCTTTACCCGCTGTGCCATCTTGCTGGCCCCTCATTTGCCCTTTAATAAAACACTGAGGAACAGGACCATGTGCTAGGGCCGGGCTGTCTGCATCTGACCCTGTCCGCCCAGGTATCTGTTTCTACTTGATAAGCGGTGCTCAGAATGTTGACTGTACTCCCAGAGCCCAAGGGGAAGCCGGAGCTACGACTCAGGTCTTAAACAAAGACTGCTTTTATGGGCCTGAGTCATCTTTTCACATAAGCCTTTTGCTTCCCCAGAACATTCAAGGGACGAGGGTGTGGATGCTACTGATCTGGGCCCTTGTTATGCCAGAATCTGAGAAATGACTTTGTCTTAGCAGGCCACATCATGTGACTTTTCACCATGTGCATGTGTGAGGAGCCTTCCTCTACCGCTGGCCATCTTATCCACCGAGGCAGAGTCTCTCAGTGGCTCCCAGGGCTCACAGACGTGGCTCCAGGGTCCCTGTCTCTGAGCATTCTCAACATTAGAATTACGGCTATGTAGCCGTGTTCGAATGGCATTTCCATGGGTTCTGGGTGCCCAAACTCAACCATTTCCTCAGCCCCTGAGATCTGATGCTGCCTTTGCCCCAAACACAGCATTGACATGGTTCGGAACACTCCAGAAACAAAGGGGGCCTTCCGAATCGTTGAAATCATCTGTCTCACTTTGCAGTTCAGCAGGGAGCAAGGTCCTGGGTCTCAGGCTGGCGTTTCCCATGATTCCTTGCTTACTGTCTCTTCCACTCATGTGGACAGGACGGCGCCTCCTCCCTGGGCTGCAGACAGTGACACTGAGTCCGTTTGCAGTCTAAGACTTCCTGGTTTCATCTCATACCTTTTCAAATACTCTTGGAACTCATGGTCAAGTTTTCACTGTAAGCATGACATCATACCAACTAGGATATGTCCTGTGAGTGGTGAGGAGAAGGCAGACGCCGTTTAGCATCTTGACTGTTAACACCCACACATACTGCTGTTTAAACATTAAGGAAAAATTAAGGAATTTGGGCTTCCGGAGTCCCCCTCTGCAGAGGAGCTTTGTCTCTGTGTGTCTGCTGCATGTGTGTGTTTCCTCATTCTCAATAAATGCTTTCTCAACTGCATAAAACAATTGTATTACATGTGTGAGTGTTTTGCCTGTATGTTAGTACGTGTACCATGTTTGTAGCGATGCTTGAGGAGGCCAGAAGAGGGCGCTGGATCCCTTGAGACTGGAGTTAACAGCTGTGAGTCACCATGGGAGTTCAGGGAACCAAACCCAGGTCCTCCGTAGTCCAGTTTGGCCACGAATTATTAACCAGAAATGACCCAGACCTTCTGATTTTCCTTGTCACTGCTTTCTGAAAGCGGGGATGACATGTGAGTGCCACCACACCAGTTTATACAGTGCTGGAATTCAGACCCAGGGCGTTGTGTATGCTGGGCAGGCAGTCTACCAACTGAGCCACAATTTCCTTCCATCTTAGGCCTCAGGCTTAGAATCTGAAGGTGACCCTGGATTGTCTGCTAATAAAGATCGATGCCAGGGGTGGATGGTGATACAAGGACTGGAATCATCTATACTCGCTCAGTTGCTCTTCAGTGACTAAGACTTCATAATACCACCCACAGATCAAAGTGCCCCTTGTTCATCTTTAGACAGAATGCCACGAAATCCCAGAACACCTCCATCTTTCTGAGCTGTATTACTGCGGGAGGCGCACAGGCCCTTGTGCTCACAAATGAGCGCTTGTGGGACTGAGAATGTTAAACACAGGGCTGTCTTTTTAAAAGACGGGATGAAGAACTTGTTACCCACCCAGAAGGCTGGACAGATGTGGTTAACAGCCTGGTGGCCTTCGTGCTATCTGTGTGGCAGAGAGGATACCGGATGCTTCCCCAGACCCTTACCATGAGCTTGTCAATCTACAGAATCTGTCTTTATGGAAGTTGTTCCATGTGCTTTACAGAGAGTTTCTCACACAGAACTGAGCTAATTATCTCCAGGAGAATTTTCACTAAACCTCGCTGTGCTTAAATATGCTAAAAAAAACTACTTAGGTCAGACTCCTGAGTTTGAGTTGACATTGTCTCCTGAGTCCTGTTGAACTGAACTTTCTTGCCTCCTGAAGATTGTTACTCTGTTGGTCATGGTGACTGCAGAGAACCCCATACAGTATGTTCTCAGGCCAATGACATCTGTGATAGAGAAGGCTCGGGAAAGACTATTAGAGGAGGTGACATCTTTCCTGTAAGTCAACCAAGCCAAGAGTGGGACCTCCTGCCTGCTTAGAGACATGAAGCAATTACACCTTTTCCTAAAGAACCGGGAACGCCTTCCTTCTGACCACAGCAGGAATCAAGTCCTAGTTGCTATTGGTTGAAGCCCCAACACACCAGCCACCTACTAGGAGGAGCCGACGGAGTTACGTCACTCACCATGCAGTCATCAATGATTTCCGCGAGACGTGTCCGGTGCCTCCGCCCTAACCTCATTATCTTCTTCCAGGTATAGTAATACTCCACGCACTGGGCCACTGTCTTGGACTTCACCTGCCGAGAAAGCGCACCCTCAATTAGCTGCAGTACTAGATGGCAGGCTAACCTGGTTTATAGGGAGTTCCAGGCCAGCCAGGGCTACATGGTGAGATTCTTTCTCAGAAAACAAAGACAAAACCCAAACAAAACAGCAGAAACTATTCTTTCCCTGTTTTTACCCTGGACAGTTGCAACACAAGTAGGCTCTCCTAATCATTTCTTTAAAAAAACAAAACAAACAACAACAACAACAAAAAAAAACTAGCATTTGTTCATGTGTATTTTTTGTTTGTTTGTTTTCTCAAGACAGGGTTTCTCTGTGAACTAGCTGGCTGTCCTGGAACTTGCTTTGTAGACCAGGCGGGTCTCAAACTCACTGAGATCCACCTGCATCTACCTCGCCAGGGCTGGGATTAAAGGCGTGCGCCGCCACTGCTCAGCTCATGTGTATTTTCTTGACTGTGTCCACGCATGCGTGGAGGTCAGAGGACAACCTGTGGAACGCCTCTCACCATCTGAGTCCTGGGGATGGAACTCATGTTCTTCCTTCCACCGTTTTTATTTTTTCCCCCACAAGAGGCAGCCAGCACTCCATAAACACTGTTCTGTGCCATGCCTAGATGTGGATGCTAGGGATTCGAACTCAAGTCCTCACACCTGCTCAGTAGGTACGCTTTCCTTCATAGCCATCTCCCTGTGTAGAGCAGCTGTCCCAGGAGTGAGCTGACCCTCGACAGCTCTGGTTCCCCGTCCCAGGAAACACCTCCCTTCCATTTGAGCCACTTGCCATTAAGCCCTCAGCAGAGGCCAAACCAATGGGGCTACCTCTTGGACAGTCAGGCATCAAATGGTGGGTTCTTTTCTTTATGAATTTCTTTATCAAGCTGTTGAAATACTTTGAAACATTTTGGCTTTTTTTTTTTTGGTCTAAATCATTCTCAGCCAATTAAAGCCTATGAAATTTGTTTTCCATTAATGTATGATTTCCTCTGTGGGTGCCTTATCTCTTCTTTTTGTTTTTCCTTTTGAATCCAGGGCCTCATACTCGGTAGAAAGGCACTCTGTTACTGAGCTATATTCCAACCGCGATAGGTTCTATCTGTCTGCCTTCTGTAAAATGCTATACAGTTATCACTCCCCTCTTTTTTTGAGGGGTGATGTTGTTGTTTTTGAGACAGTATCTCACTATGTAGCCCAAGGTGTCCTAGAGTTTGCCATGTAGATCAGGCTGGCATTGAATGCAACCTACCTGTGGCTCCAGAGTACTGAGATTAACGGTGTGTGCCACCATGCCTGGCAGGTTATTATTATTAATTCAATCATTCTTGTCATGACTACAGGGTCTGACTCCAGAAATCCTCACATTAGGTAAGGGAAGGCCACATACTCCCTCCCCTGTATAATGTCCCAGGAAGATGTTGTCAGAAATCTGATCACTTGCCTAGATACACAGTAAGCTATGAGGTTGGGACTCAGCCCTAGTTCTAATTGTTCTGAAAGAATTGTACATTCAACACATATCTGTTAAAACAGAAGCCCAGGTGCTGAGGAGGTAGATTGGCTGGGAAAATGCTTTACTTGTAGGCAGGAGGACTCAAGTTCTATCCCAAGAGCCCACCCAAGAGAGACAAGTGTGGTGGAGCACACTGATAAGCATAGAACTGGGGAGGGGCGGACAGCCAGTGTAGCCTGCTCAGTGAGCGCCAAGCCAATCAAGAGTCTGTCTCAAACCAAAAGGTGAACAGTGGGGGCCGGAGAGGTGGTCAGTGGTTGAGAGCACTGGCTGCTCTTGCAAAGGATCCAGCTCAATGCTCAGCACCCACATGGTGCCTCACAACTCTCCAGAACTCTAGTCCTAGGAGATAGCTTCTTTCTGATTCTGTGAGCACCAGACATGCATGTAGCGCCCATACATCCATGCAGGCAAACATTCATACACATACAATAAAAACAAGAAGAGAAAGTATCTGAAGAACAATATCCAAGGTTAGCCCCCAACCTCCACACACTCACACATATGTGTGCACACACATGCACACACGCATGTGGATACACACAGATATACAGAAACCTCAATACTGTAGTCTTAACAATCTGTATACTTTTCCCCATCATCTCCATCACAGCACCCAGCCCCATCATCTCCATCACACCACCCCAGCCCCATCATCTCCATCACAGCACCCAGCTCCATCATCTCCATCACAGCACCCAGCCCCATCATCTCCATCACAGCACCCAGCCCCATCATCTCCATCACAGCACCCAGCCCCACCATCTCCATCACAGCACCCCAGCTCCATCATCTCCATCACAGCACCCAGCCCCATCACCTCCATCACAGCACCCAGCCCCACCATCTCCATCACAGCACCCAGCCCCATCATCTCCATCACAGCACCCAGCCCCATCATCTCCATCACAGCACCCAGCCCCATCATCTCCATCACACCACCCCAGCTCCATCATCTCCATCACACCACCCCAGCTCCATCACCTCCATCACAGCACCCAGCCCCATCATCTCCATCACAGGACCCAGCCCCATCATCTCCATCACACCACCCCAGCTCCATCATCTCCATCACACCACCCAGCCCCATCATCCCATAAGCACCCAGCCCCACCATCTCCATCACAGCACCCCAGCTCCATCATCTCCATCACACTACCCAGCCCCATCACCTCCATCACAGCACCCAGCCCCATCATCTCCATCACAGCACCCAGCCCCATCATCTCCATCACAGCACCCAGCCCCATCATCTCCATCACAGCACCCAGCCCCGTCATCTCCATCACACCACCCCAGCTCCATCATCTCCATCACAGCACCCAGCCCCATCATCTCCATCACAGGACCCAGCCCCATCATCTCCATCACAGCACCCAGCCCCATCATCTACATCACAGGACCCAGCCCCATCAGCTCCATCACAGCACCCAGCCCTGTCATCTCCATCACAGCACCCAGCCCCATTATCTCCCATCATACCACCCCAGCTCCATCATCTCCATCATACCACCCCAGCTCCATGCCACCCCTGTAGTGACCACCATCATTTCCCTTGATGGTAGAAGACAGACCCTTCCTGAGGATGTTATAAAAGCAGTAAACAAAAACATCTCACTAAGGTGATGTCCAGAATCTCAAAGTTCCTTTCAAATGAGCAGTAGGGAAAGAGGCTTACCATCTTCTGTACAAAAATAAAGTCCTTGCTGTAAGTGGCCAACGCTTTGTTAAACAGTTTTCTTTCTAGAGATGTCCACTTGTCAGAACCTGGAACAAAACAGAACAAATTTAAGGCTAACCTGTGTAAATGAGATCCTTTCTCAAAACAAGAAAAATAAAAAGAGCTGAAGCCAGGTCTCTGAACATTCACTTGGTCTAAGTCAAGATCCAATTGTCTAGAGAAAGAGGCTGACCATACATATGACATTCATGTTTGAATGAAAAGCTAGTGTAGAGCTGGGCACAGTGGTGTGTGCCTGCAGCCCCAGCAGGAAGAGGTGGGAGGAGCTAGGGTCCAATGCCAGCCTGGGCTACATAGTGAAGCCATGCTTAAAAAAATAAAACAGTAGACAGTGTTTTATTCTGCAGTAGTCAGAAGTCCTGATCTGGTTCAAAACTCGGCAAGTCACTCAACCCAAGGCTTCAAGTTTGTAATTAATGAGTGGCAGCAATTACTGCCCCCACTGATAATTAGATTTTTATGAATGTTAGAAGCAATCTCGTATGGGTCAGGCAGTGATGGCGTATGCCTTTAATCCCAGTACTCAGGAGGCAGAGGCAGGCGGATCTCTGTGAATTTCGAGGCCAGCCTGGTCTACAGAGCAAGTTCCAGGGTAGCCAGGACTACACAGAGAAACCCTGTCTCCAAAAACTAAACCAAAAAAAAAAAAAAAAAAAAAAAAAAAAAAAAAAAAACATGACAGCTGGGAGATCGAGTGCTTTTGCCTAATTATTATTTTATGAATGTAAGCACTCATGTAGTTAGTGATTCTTGGGGGCGTGGCTGGGTTCACTGTCTCCAGCCTTGCAAAGGCCAAACACTATGGTATTCAAGCTACAACCATGATGGGACACAGAAGGACCATTGCATTCAGGTTAGGACCAGGGCAGCAGGGAAGGCTGTGAGGTAGAAAAAATAACAGACTGGAGTTCTGAAGGTCACACATAGGTCAGTAAGGCAAGAAAGAGGTAGAAGGGGGTTCTGGGGCAGGAAAGTCAAGGGCAAAGTCACGGACGAAAATACACTTCATTCACTCATTCATTTAGTAAGTGCATTTATGAGACGTCAGCTATGCAAGGCACGGTGTCAGGAAAAGACCTATCAGGGACCGTGGGATGGCTCAGTGGATAAAAGTACCTGCTGTGAAAACAGGATGGACCAGAGTTCAAATCCCCAGCACTCATGTTAAAACATGCGTGTCCCACACCAGCCTACATTGGAGGCGGAGACAGGTGGATCCTGCAGTGTCACTGGTTCAGAAATGACCCTGTCCCAAACAGTCAGGTGGAGAGGGAGGAAGACGCGTGCACGCACACACGTGCACACGCACACACACACTCACACACACACACTCTCTCACACACACACTAACACACACTCTCTCTCACACACACACTCACACACACTCACACACTCACACTCACACACACACACTCACACACACACTAACACACACACGATCTAAAAGAAGGTGCCATTTGGAACATTATGTCTCAGATGCTAAGTCTTTACTAACAACCCTGTAAGGCTTGTCACTACTGTTCTACTTTACAGAAGGGGAAACAGAGCATGTTTGGTTCTAGGTTTCAGGGGAGGGGAAGCACATTAGGCTGAAGAGATGAGTGGGGACAGTTAGCAGATTTGCAGCCTGTCGGGGCAAAAATGCTGTGGCCCTAACACGTCATTTATGTCTTGCCGATCAAACCTGATGAATGGTTTTTCCTTCCTAGCGCAAGAGGATATACTGGGAGACTGGCTTCATGATGAGGCTGGCTTATTCCTAGGAGAAACCAAGCCTCCATGGTGGGCAGGTTTGTATGGGTTTCAGTGTGTACTAGCATTAAGTTATTATTGTGCTCCATGGTGTGGTGGTGTTGAGGGGTTGCCTTTGAGAGGTGGGGCCTAGTCCCCAGCCCCTCCACAGTCAGTCTCCGGCTTGCTGTCTCCCCAACTGAGCTTTCCCTTAGTTATTCTGCAAAGAGGGTGCCACCTGGCACACTGTAACACAACCATGGACTTCAGCTTTTAAAACTGCAGGCTATATCAGTCTATTTTCTCTATAGAATACTCAACCCCAAGTATTTCATTACAGCAAGAGAAAACACAGGGCTTTGGTTCTGGGTACGCTAGGGAAGGTTCTGTATCCCATGTTGGGTATATAGAAGACTACACTGTTCCTCTGGTTCCCAAATTCTCTCCATCTTTGACTCCTGGATGGCACATAGCTGGCCACTCATATTCCATCACCAATTTTCAGGTCTCTTAAAACGGCAGTATCGTTTTTAAAAGGGTCTCATGATGTAGCCTTGGCTGGCCTGGAACTCACTATGTAGAGCAAGCTGGCCTCTGCGGCGCTGGGATTACACGTGTGTCACCTTGCCTGACCCCCATAGCATTTCCACACCTAGCTAGGGCAGATAGGCCCACGTTTCCCATTCTACTTTGACCAGCTGCTAGGCCTTAAGCACAGGCAATCTGCATAGCATTTCCATGCAAGCATATGAAAAATCAGAGAATGAAAAGCAGCCTCTTTGGGTGGGCAGCCATCCTAGGACTGTTGAGGAATTATGTAGCTCAGTGGTGCAAGTGCAGATAAACACCCCTTCCACATAAATTTTTGGTGGGTCTCACAGCCAAGAGCTCTGGTTCTAGACTGAACAATCCATAGTCCAGCTGGCTGGCTCAAGCCTCTAAAAGCTGAGTAGCTACTCATTTCCTTTGGTTTGCAAGACTGCATTTTTATAGTTTTGAAGGGGATGCTGTGGAGAAACATCTTCTAGATCTTTAGGATCTGCAGAGCCTGACTTCATGGTCTGCGCAGACCATCGCAACTTCGGGGAAGGCATCTGAACACGTGTGAAGGAAGGTGGGAATATCTGTGCCTTCATAGCCGTTGCACAATGCTCCTCAGGTTGTGTCCAATATTCTGGGCCTTGGGGGATGGGGTTTCCAGCTCCCCTCCGCTGCTGGAGAGGCTGAAAGGGGAACAAGGGATTAGCCAGCCAGCAACTTTAGCTGAGTGACTACAGAACAGCCATGGGTGTCCATCAAAACAGCAACGAGGTGAGGGAATCAGAGAGTCCGGAGATGATGCTGTCCAGTCACAGCAGGAGGCATCGTGCTGCCTGACCCCTGCAGGTCCAGGATGGGTGGCCCTTGGTGTTCCCTCAGATGAACCACCCAATGCTGATAACACCCACCCCTAAGCAGATCAGGGAACATTCTTTCCAACTTCAGATCATGGATTTCTTAAGAGTTAATGCCAGTCTACCTGGATGGAGACCCTGGCAGGGTCGTCCAGTCTTCTGAAGCCAGCAGCATCTCCATGCAGGCTACACCCACTTCTACCTCTAGCTTGGCTCACTATGTCACTGTTGGTCCGAACAGAAGGGTACGTTCCCAGCTCCGCCTCCTTTTGAGACCTCCACTCTTCGGTGTGTCCACAAGGCTTGCCGGTCCATCTGTTCAGCAGGAGGGCCACACTTGAGGACGAAAGAAGACCTCTTGGGGTATCTTGGGGTGTTGTTCTGTACTGAGGTCTTGTGTCACAGATCTTCCCTAGTCCGGGTCTTCTTTTGTCACTCGTACAGTGATAGGTGGAAAGCACAAACCTAGAGAGGGCTGTAGGGATAGATCTGGGCTCTTGTCCAGTCCTAGGATGTGTGTTTGTGTGTGCATGTGCCCAACAATAAATCCACACACACCAGAGATGGTGTCTAGAGACGAGGGACTACACACAGGAGTTGAAGCTCCACCCCGGGCCTTGGACTGAATTCGTGATACAGATCAATGGCATCTGAGCATATGACATCACTAGGCCATGACAAAGGGTGACTTCTGTCAGGAGAGCTTCAACTGTGAATACGCCCCTGGAATTCCTTCCTTCCGTGACAGCGGGGAAGTCTACTTAGTTTCTTTACCCTTGAATCGGGATGCCTGTTCACTGGGACCGATACTGTTTGGCCATAGAAGCTCAATAGGTGCTCGGTGTCTCTATTGGTCACCTGGGTAGATTCTGTATCAGCTCAGGCTATGGGACATACACTGTCCCTCTGATAACATGGCTACTACAGGGCTGCCTGTCCCTGCCGGAACTCCGGAACTCCAGGCGTGGGTTCACCCAGCCCTGCCTCTCTGGTAAGATCCCCACCCCTCTCTCAGCTGGCAAGTGGGGTTGTTGGGCTGACACTCCCCCACACTCACTGTCCCACCTGGGGATTCCTGGCTGTTGGGCTATTATCAGCAGGGCCCCCTAACAAGCCGATTAAGGCTAATGACAAAGAGCCTAATTAACCGGATGAAATGGGCACTGGAGGAGTATCTAGAGGAAAAAATGCACTGAGCTTTGGTTGCTGGGAAACAAGCTCCGGACTGTGGGTAATTTGGGGGGCAATCTACAGCAAATCCAGGCAATTAAAAGCAGACATTCCCGGGGCAGAGAAAAGTTGGACACAGTATCTTTTTAGAGGGTCTCTCTGGCTTCTTTTCCGGATTAAAAACCAAACTTTTATTGATGTCGTTGTTGTGGTTACGGCACAAAGACATGGTCGTATAGAAAGCCCGGGGCTTTTTAGCAGATTTCAATGTCATACAGAGTGTCGGTAGCGGTGAAGGTCAATTTCTCCCTGGGTGCAGGTTGCTTCTCAAGGTGCAGAAAAGAAGGAAACCTCAATCGGAACCCATATTTTGAACTTGTCACCAAACATTTTCTTTGCAAATGCTGTGTCAGGTGAGGTATGAGAGAAGGTAATGACTCAAGTCCTGCCACGAGAAGTCTACCATGCAGTTAAAAAAAAAAAAAAAAAAAAAAAAAAAAAAAAAAACCAGGAAGGTACCCACGGCTCTCTTTGCAGAGTTATTCTAGCAAGCATGTAATTCTGTCTCTATTAATCTCGGGCAGTGTCCAAGACAAGAGCTCCGCCTTTCCTTACGGAAAGGGTGTTTCTCTGGGCTTTCATTCGCTTTTTAAATTTCAAGTGTGTGAGAACCCAGTGGGTGCTTGTGATTGTGGTGGACGTCTTCGCTGTACCCTGTGAAGAAGCTAGAGACAATTCTACCATCCCCACACTGCACACATCTCCACGAGGGCCTGTTCAGTGGAGAAACCAGGGCTGCTTTAGCTGTCTGACCACAACCAGATGCGTCTCCACCATAGCTCCCCAAAGCGCAACACTCCCCATCCAATACAGGTGCTAAGGGAAACCACTGCGGAAGCCTGCTAGCCATACATGGGTGGATGGAGCAGACAGGGACAGTGTGTCCTGGTGTGAACTGAGCACTGGAGGCACCGCACAGCTGTCCTCCGAGGATGCTGGACAGGCTCCCCAGCTCTGGCAGCCTGCCTTCAGGTCTGGGCCAGATGCCCCTCTCCCTGGTTCTATAGTACTCCTCCTCCTGGTCCTGCGTTAGGGAGAAGAGTTTCTTCAAGCTTGTGTCTCTCTGCCTAGGAACCCCGCCTTGCTGCCTTTCCTGCAGGGCATGGCAAAGCCTGGATCTGACTTCCTTCTGGCATACTTGTGAAGAGGAAAACGTCAACTGAAAAACTGCCTCAATCAGATTGGCCCGTGACCATGTCATGAGGCATTTTAATCGCTAATTGATGGAGGAGGGCCCCCATTTGTGGGTGGTGCTGTACCTGGGCACATGGCCTAGACTGGGTAAGCCAGGCCTGAGGAGGCAGGTTAAGCAAGCCAGCAAGCCACATTCCTCCATGGTCTGCTTCAGTACCGGCTTTAGCTTCCCTCCATATTAGACTATAAGACACAAGTCAAACAAATCTCTTCCTCCCTACGTTGTTCTGGTCAGTGTTTTATCACAGCAACGGACACCAAGTGAGAACAGTAACTAACGTGAAATCCCAGGAGTCGGGTGGGTCACAGACTCAGAGCCGGAAGGCAAAGGAGACCTAGAAGGTAAGTGTTCCATTGAGGCAGAAACAGCTGACTGCAACTGGGGGTGATAGAATGGCTCTGGGCACCAAGGCCAAGGCAGGTCAGGGCTATGATGGGACAGAATCCAGGGACATCTAGGATCCAAATTCGGAGCGAAGCCAGAGTACGGCATGGTGGCTGGGACTTAAGATAGAATGAACTCTCCCGTGATTTGACAGCCAATTGTTAAAGGTATGGACATGTGCCTAACTTTAGGGACAGCGTCATGTGGCCCATCTGCTCATCATTCTAGAATATTCTCTGAGGCTTGGGTTATAATCACTTCTAGAAGAAGGCAAGTGACTGGAAGATATAGGTGATGATAGTATCCATTTCTTCTCTCCAAGGGCTGAAATGATTTCAAAGCAAGAGTTTCTCCCGAGCTACTTGAGGGGGAGGGAGTCAGGGAGGATTAACTAACAATCCTCAATCCAAAAAGCTCAATGTATTTCAGAAGATTTTAAAGTTCTCTGCAACATTTTCCTGTTTTGTTTTGCTCGGTCGGGGCTGGGGTGGGTGTGCTTTAGCCCAAGGCTTTCCAGTACTTTTCATGTCATGACGGACATAAAAATGAAAAAGTACTTGTTTACCATGCTGTGAACAACTGTCGAGGAACCATGTCCTGGACGGAGAGCTCACATCTGGCTATGACCAACCCCAGGGTTCTGGCTACACAGTCACCTGAGGCCAAGGGCAGCAGCGGCTCGATGCCAGTGGCTGGAAGCTTCGTTTAGCCAGCCCACAGCCCCACCCACCATGCAGAGAAGTTTGGGATAGGATCCAGGAAGCTGGGATGGCCTGGCAGGGTGAATGGACAGCAGATGATGCTGGGAATTAGGAGATGAAACTGTTCTCGGGCAGACAGGTGGGCTCCCGCATCTTTCTGCCCACACAAGCAGGAAATGATGACGCTGGCTCCTTTGTCCCCTGGTTACCGGATGCTTTTATCTCATTGTCCATGTAGTGCTTGTCGCTTTCGTCCAGCTACTGCCAGCTGGAACGACACACTACGCTTACACAGCTTTGAGGCCTTTCTACGTGGTGACGACCAGTGGCAAAGCTGACTCATGAGTGGAGGGAGAGACACATGGTGGGCGGCCCAGTACCTGTAAAGAAGCCTTCACTTTCGGACTCGTTGCTTGGTGAAGAGTGCATTCAGCATCTACCTAAGGGAGGCCTGCCCAAGGTACCAAAGGAACCTCAAGTGATTAAAAATGAAGGGCAGGGGCTGGAGAGACACCAGCGGGTCACAGTGTACACTGCTCTTGCAAAGAGAAGGAGCTAGGTTCATGGCACCCATCAGGGAACTCAAAATTATTTCTCACTCTTTTAGGGATCTGGTGCCCTCTTCTGACTTCTATGGGAATTGCTCGTGCGCGCGCGCGCACGCGCACACACACACACACACACACACACACACATCTAGACACTCACCTAATGAAGTTTTTATCCTGGCCTTTGAGAGGCTCCCCATCCCCCTCCAGGGAATAGAACCTAGGACCCTATATACTGTAGGTAAGCAGTGAGTTACATCTCCAGCCCACACCCCCTCCAGAGTCTTAGTACAATCCTCTTTACCCAGTAAGCAGCCGTTGAATATGAATTCCAATAGCTAGAAGATGTTTCAACACTGAACTACATACATTGGCTTGAGTCTTAAGAACTCTGTAAGGGATGGAACATAAACCTCATTCTGAGTGGGAAACAATTCAAGCCTATAGAAAGCCTAGAGCCTGGATCAAAGTCCGACCTACCTTTAAAGATTCCAAAGCCATAAGTGGCTCTTTCATTCCCAAGGGACAGGTGTTGACACTGACACATGCCTGGCAGTGTTGGCCTAACAGACCCAGTGTTATCTATGTGTTAATAACTGACACAAATGTTCGAGCTGCCCACTCTTGGGAAGCAACAGGGCACAGGCTTCCTGGTGACCTACCGGCATAGTGGTAATTTGCTAAAGGATGACATTTTAACCTGACTGGCTTCCGCAGCAGCAACATTTCCAGGGTAGCCTGTAGATTCAGAGAGAACAGGCAGAAGTCAGAAGTCAGTCATGTGTGTGTGTCCTGGGGAAGACCACCCATCTACCCAAGGGGAGGGAGAGCAGGGTTAGCACTGCAGTGGGACTGGGAAGAAACCCAGGGCAGATGACTCTAATGGGAATCTACTTTCTGTTCAGCTCCAACAGGACCCTATATTTTAACACCACCCCTAACTCCTAGCCCATGCCCGAAGCTAGCTGGTTGCAAGACAGAAGAAAAGAGCAGCTGAGACTCAAGTGCTTCCTCAGAAGGCCTATTCACCTCAGAGACGTGAGTGAGGTCTCTGAATGGAGGCTGTATCTCTGGGGAGGGGCTTGAGAGGAAGGAGTGGGTGGTGACTGTTTCACAGACAGACCGTAGGTCTCGTTATCACTGAATGAAAACAGCTGTATTAGTAATAAGTGTACCACATACTGTCCTGCCTTTCCAAGGAAACCCTTCAGATCTGCCTTCTTCAGCTGTCATGTGTGCGCATGTGCACACACATGAAGGTGTATGAATGTGTGTGGGCATGTGGAGGTCAGATGTCAGCTGCCATCATTCCTCAAGTGCTGTTCACATTGAGATAGCATCTCTCACTGGCCTGCAGGTCACTAGACTAGGGACTTGGCCAGCTGGCCAGTGAAACCCAAGGATTTGCCCATGCTTGCCTCCATAGCACTGGGATTATAAGTACATACCACCAAAGCCAGTTTTGTGTGTGTATGTGTTTAAGGTTTATTTATTTTTATTTTATGTGTATGTGTGTTTTGTGTATATTCATGTCTGTGCATGGTGCCCATGGAATCCAGAAAACAGCATTGGATTCTCCTAGAACTGCAACATGGGTGCCAGGACTCAATCCAGGTCCTCTGGAAAAGCCCCCAGCTTGTTTTTGTTTAAGAAAAGGCGGCGACAGCGCTCACAGTGGATGGGTTTGGGCTGAGCAAGGCAGGGAAATCTTGCTATTCCGAATCTGCAGATCAGCAGCTTCAGAATATTTAAGGAGCTGCTTAGAAACCAAGAACCTTTGATAGCAAGATGGCCCGGTGGTTAAGAGAACTGGCTGCTCTTCCAGAGGACTTGGGTTCAATTCCCAGCACCCACATGTAGCTCACAAGCCTGTACTCCAGTTCCAGGGCTCTGATGCCCTCTTCTGGCCTCCACAGACACTGCACACTTGTGGTGAACAGACACACACAGGCAGTTACAGAAAAAGAAATCCAGAACCCAGCACACACTGCCATCTGTTAGTCAGTGCAGGCATCTCAGGATTAACCCACAGTCATTTATGATGGAAGTTCGAGACAGCACAGACCTCAAAACGCAAACTTGAGCATTCTAGATCACACTTGAAGATTGGCACGTTTGTTTATTTTTTGAATCTTCATAAAATCTAAGAGCAGGAACCCAGTTCTAGTACTAGGAGGGACTCTGTACTTCTGTAAAAGGGAAACTGAGGCTGGATGGACCCATCTGGCCAGTGGTGAAGGCTGACTGGGAAAACAGCACCATGTTTCTAGTTTAGGGGTATCAAAGTGTCCCTAATGAAGGTCCCCAACATTAAGAATTGTTTTCTTTTTTATTTTAAAGTTTACGTATTTTTTTTAAATGTATGAGTGGTCTGTCTGCAAGTATGCTTGCAGGCCAGAAGAGGGCACCAGATCTCACTAGAGATGGTGGTGAGCTAACATGTGATTTCTGCGACTCGAACTCAGGACCTTTGGAAGAGCAGTCAGTGCTTTTAACTGCTGAGGCCCCATTCAGAACCATGTTAAAGGGTGGAGGGAGGAACCAATTATTGTGTCAGAGAAAAGATGTCTGGAAACATGCAAATTTGGCTGACTTCTATAGCTGGGAGGACCTTCAGGCCAATTCTTGTTTTAGTCCAGGCTCTCCTTCTATCTCCATCACTGACACAGGCAATGAAATTCTAATTTCCTACAACAGATGTGCCCCCAATTATAGTTTAGTGACGGGCATGTTAGCAGAGGTCTAACCGGAGGTTTTCTTTTTTCTGCAGGCTTTCAGGTCTGGACCTTCTCACTGAGATAGCTCACCAAGAAAGCCTCCTCCCTTCTCTAGCTTCCTTACCATGACGTCACCTTTGGCCTCAAAGAGAGAGTGCAAAGCAAATTCAGAATTGGTCCCTCCACCGGGCAGGGCACTGGAACAACACAGGTTCAGAAGGTTCTCCACTGTTGGGAATAAGAAGTCACCTATCAGACAATTTCAGTGCCATGAAAAGCCACCCATCCTGGAGCCAGGTGTCCCTGCTAGAGCAGCCAACCTCACCCACCCCGATCCTCCTAAGTGCCAGTACCTTGTTGCTGGAGGGCCTGGTTTTCCAGCTCAGGCCATGGCTTCCACACCAGTGTGGCCTTGTGTGTGTCCTGAGCCAGGGCAGAGACATCTTGCAGTTCTGGGATCTCGGCTTGGAATCTCAAGCCAATGTTGATGCGTCTTTAAAGACAAGAAAAACAGTGTGGTCTTCAGTGTGATTGCATAGGCCAGGGGTCACTGTCTGGAAATGAAGACACAGGAAAGCAGTTCCTTCCACAAGAAGGATGCTGGAGCATCTCCTTGTGGTAGGGCCCTGGGGGGAGAGGCAAGGCAGCCATTTGCCCGGAGATTCTCAGCTCCCTGGAACCGGAGTGGAAGACAGCTAATTCCGAGAGGAACTGGAAGTGGGCTACGTGTGTGCAACAATGTAAAATGTTTATGTGTTTACCCTTTCCTCACCTAAGCTCAGGAAGGTCTGTGATATGAACAAGGCAGTCATCATGGTTGGTTGGTTGGTTGGCAACAATCAAGATTCCCATTCAGGGAAGCAAGGAAGACCTCAGGAAGCTGACTCAACACAGATCAAAACTAGAACGGTGTCAATGCGAGCTTCCTGATTCTGGACTCTATAGCTCTGAGGCATGAGGCTCCTTTTCTGCATTCATTCATGAGACGAACCACTTTCACTTCCATAGAAAGCAGCCTCTCTTTATTTAGAACTTTCTGTGGCTTTCAGGCACCCATGGTCAACTCATGTTGGAAAATATTAGATGGAAAACTCCAGAAATAAATGGTTCTGTCTTACTTTCATGCCATTTAAAGCAGTGTGATGAAATCTTGAGCCTGACCACTTTTACCTGCCTCACGTGTAAACAATCTCTTGTCTACTGTGTCTGCACTGAATAAGATGGCTGCCTGTTAGTCAGCTGGGAGCAGCCTTGATGATCTAGACAGACCATGTCTCAGTTACCAGATAGATTATTGAGGCACAGTAGTGGTAATACACAGGGCATGGCACCATCACAGGCTTCACAGGTTTCAGGCACCCAAAGCTGGAGGTCTGGGAATCCTAAGCCTCCAATGATTGTGGGTGCCGATCCTTCTCCTGATCATGAGTGATACAAACACTCGACAAGCCCATTTGGAAGACTGTCGTGGGAAGAAAAACATCCAGAAGGATCCTCTTCTAGTTAAGCACCTTTAAGAGAGAGCCCTCAATGGGCTAGAGAGATGGCTCAGTGGTTAAGAGCACTGACTGCTCCTCAAGAGGACCTAGGTTCAATTCCCAGCACCCACATAACAGCTCACAGTCGTCTATAACTCCAGTTCCAGGGGACCCAAAAGCAATGCACATAAAATTAGAAAAAAAAAAAAAAAAAAAAAAAAAAAAAAAAAGTGGTCTCAAGTGTCACCTGGGGATATGAAAGTAGTCCAGTTTAGAACTGGCCTGTGGAGGTGAGGAATGGTAGATGACATCATGGATTCACATTTAGTGCTAAGAAAAGACTGAAATGCTAGCAGCTATAAGGAAATAGTAACACTCAAGGAAAGCCATGTTCCTACCATTCCTACAACTTTCCCCTGTCAGTACAGAAGTACTGACTGCCCTTCTAGAAACTTCCAGACCATTCCCAATCTCAGGTGTGTGCTCTAAAGCATAATTGGCTTTTCCTTACGGTTCAACATCCACAGTCTGCTCTCCAGGTCCTGGGGTGACTGTCACATTGCTGCCATCGATGCTGCCTGAAACACAGAAACTAGGGTTTACTGGCCAACAAGGAAAACTTCCCAAGACAAGAAAACAATGAGCAATTAGCTGACTAGTAATTAGCCAATTAGCAATAACAAGGCTCTTTTCCTAGCCAACCCAAACCAGAGGACTGGATGAATATGTGCAGTTTCTGTATATTTCTCTCCTCCTCTAGCCCGCTGACAAGGGTCCTGATGTTTAGCACAATTTGGTTTGGGACTTCCTATCCCCCAGCTTTAAGCCACAGCCTCTCCAGAGCTTGGGACTACAAGAGTAAGATAACTGTTTCTCAGACCGTGTGAGGAAAAGCTGCCCTGCTACATGGTTTCTAGGCAACCAGACAGAAACCTAGCTACAAAGATCTCTCTCCTCCCTTCTGTCCATTCAACAGCTCTGAGGAGATGAGTTTTCCTGGGCTGCCCAGGATGGCCTTGAACTCCCCAGCCTTCTGCCTCAGCCTCCTGAGTAGTTGTTACACTTGCGTACTGCCTACAGGGTTCATGATTGGCTCTTTTATTTTTAATAAAACATGCTAAATATTAAGGTTTGCTCTTGCCTATAACACCCAAGCGCCGGCCGCACTGACATCTGTTAAGTATCTTAAGCATCTTGTATGACCACCCAAGACAGTCTTAGTGTGTACATTTCCCTTGAGATACTAAATGCGATGCTAAGAACACCTAACATGCAAAGTATCTGGAACACATGAGTGAAACTTCACGGAAATCCGAGGGGAGGGGTAAGCTAGCCAGTGGAAGAAAGCAAGACTCGGCGCCCACTCAGAACAGTATCCAGAATCGACAGGGGTGACACCAGGGGTTAAGAGATGACTCACTGGAGCGGCACAGCAGCACGCGTGGCGTGGGCGTGGGCGTGAGGGGAGTGAGGGGCAGCTGCGGGTGCACTCCTGGGCCGTGGCCCGAGATGAGGACGTTGCTGAAGAGCCCTGAGCCCTGGCGCACCGGGCTCAGCATGGGTGGCGGTGTGTAGGGGGGCAGCTCGTGGGCGGGGTCCAGGAGCAGGTGGTCCCCGAGGATGCGTGGGGAGCGCAGCTGGCTCTGGTACAGGGTGGCCCCCGAGTAAGAGGTGGGGTTGGGGGTATAGGAAGAAGGCGGTGGCGGGATGAAGAGCGGCTCGGGCCGGTGCCGGAACTTCTTCTTGTCGGGTAGGGTCTTGAGGGGCTCCTCAGCTTTTGCGGTGATGGCTGGATGATGTTTCCGGGGGATTTCCTAGAGCGAGAGGAATAGTTGGGATTCAAACTTGGACATCCCAGCCACTAGCCCCTTTCTGAGCACAGAGCTGCCTATCCTTGCCGTGGCCCCTTTCCACAGATTTGGCCAGGGATGTCGGAAGATCTAAGAGGGTGGGCGAGAGATCATCTCCCTTCTACTCATCCCCTCCCACTCCCGCCACATCAGCCTTGGGATGGTTAGGAAAAGACAATCCAGAAGGGCTGCAAAGGGTAGAGAGTGGGTCGGTAAGAAGCAATAAATTCAAATTCTTCTGGTAAGAAATTCAAATTCTTCCGGCTTATCTACATCTCCATCTGTTTTGAGTGAACCCAGCGGAGTGGCTCTTTAGTCCCCCCCCCCCCCCCGCTCCTGCAGGGACAGACCACACATGCTCTGGGCAGGAGGAGGTTCGCGCCTAGCGCAGGCTCCTCAGCCCTGCCGCCCGCCCGCGCCTCTCCAGGGCGACTTGGGCGGGGGTGCGGGGGCACAGTGGTCCCCGGTCCTCAAGGCCGCTTTAACGGGCTCTGCTGAGCTGGAGCTGGTGGCGCTCCCTGCCACGCCCCTCGGAGGCGCCGCCTCCTGCTTCCTGTCAGCCTGCCTTACAGCGGGGACCGAGCCTCGTCTGGGGAGCCTGGCACACACACGGACACAGACACACTAGTGACTCCACGCATGCACGTCGGATGGAGAAGCAGGCTGAGCCAGAGCCGGCGGTGTGAAACAGACTTGGGCGGCCTCGGCGGGCTGGGCGTGGCAGGCGGCCGCGGGTACCTGCGGACAGGCTCTGGGCGCCCGAGTGCCCGGGCACAGCTGCAGCGCCCAGCAGCTCGAGAGCCGGAGTGGCGAGCGAAGACAGCAGCAGGGGGTGATGGGAAAGGCGGGCACGGTCACATGACCAGCTGCCTCGAGGCCATGTGACCTGCCCCGGTGCCCCGAGCTTTGGGCCCCTCTCACCGCCCGCCTCCAGTAGTGTGGGCGCTGCCCCCTTCCCGCAGCCACCTCGGCCTCTAGGGCCGGGCTCTGGGGAGCACAGGGGCTCCGGCGGCCAGGTCTCCTTCCACCAGTGTGCTCCAGCCTCCCTCCTCTCCTCAGGCAGGGGCTCTTCGCAGCCCGAGGCCCGGAAGAGACCCCGAGGGACCGAGAGAGGCTGCTGAGGACAATGCTTGGAGAAACGCGGCTTTGCTATCCCCACTCTTAAGTGAGGAGCAAATCTGCAAACTTTTTAAGCCCTGTCCCTGGGTCACTCGGGAGGCCATCTAAGCAATGTGCAGCTCTCGGTGATGATCTCAACTCTGCCCTGGAGCCCAAAGTTACGATCGCAGGGTCAAAAGTCGTTTGTAGGCTCTTTCTGGCACTCCCGCCTCTCAGAACCATCTGGACCAGAGGGGTCACTTAGAATGTCACACTTGGGTCACAGCTGAAGTACTTTAACAACAGACTCTGGTGGGCAGAGCCAAACACTGTTCTATAAAGCTCCTGCCCCCCAGGGGAGGGAGAGGCCATTGGGAAGACCAACACTCTGGGGGAAACCGAGACTCCGAGGAGAGGGAGAGTCTTAAGTTGGCTTTAGCTCAGAGCTGAATTAGAATTCTGAATTAGAATTCAGAGCCCTTTCCTGGATCTTAAAATTGTTTTTATATCACGTTGTTTTATATCCACATGCATGCTTCTACCTCAGCCTGCCTGTCAACTGTCTCTCTCACCTTAGCATTAAACCAAGTTCATCCTTTCTGACTCAGCCTACTCAGAGCCCCTAATGATCTAATCAAAAACACCACCACACTATCTTGCTTGTTGGACCCACACACCTGGTACACAGGTGCACCTTGAATTATGATGGGGCTACAATAAATCTACAGTAAATCTAAAATGTTATTAAGTTAAAAATGAATTTAATGCACCTCACCCACAGAACATCCTAGCTCCACAACCCATCGCATAATAGTCTCCATTCTCTCCCTTCAAGATCACTTAACTAACTGGGCCTTGTGGCTTAATGCCACTGCTCAGCGTCGGGAGAGAAGATTGTATTGTATATGTCGCTATATATACAGGTGCATGTCACTGGCCTGGGAGAAGACCAAGGTCCAAATATTCAAAGGACAGTGAGTAGAACATTTAATCATATGTAAAGCTGAAAACGTGTAAGAGGAACCATTTGGCCAGGAGACATCTGTATTCCCATTGTGCCACCTCCAGGACACAGGTTTCTCCTTGGCTCTCATCTTTCACTGTCTCGAATGAGATGGGTGGCTGTGATCCCTGTGTGATGAGGACTTCCAGGACAGGACACAGTGCCTTTCACACCAAATCTCATGACTTCCCCAGGCAAGGTAGGTGTGTGTGTGTGTGTGTGTGTGTGTGTGTGTGTGTGTGTGTGTGTGTGTTATTTCATCTTTGCTGGCTGCTAGCCCCCTCTGGCCAGAATATGGGAGCTGTCCCTTAGTCTCTCTTCTGCTGAGCCTCAATAACACACAAGAACCCAAACCAGTTCTTTCTGGATGTTTCCACCCTAGCCTCATGTCTTGTAGATTCCCAGGAGCCACTCACCCTCTAAGGACACCTGAGACCCAACACACCACCCTGTGGGAAGGGACAGGTCTGACAGGGCCAACCATGGTGGTCATAAATCCCCAGGGTAGAGAGAAGAGGCAGAGAGAGGAGAGGAGGGTGGCTAAGGCAAAGAGAATTTCAAAGTGAGTGAGAAACATGAATCACTTTGCTTTCCTGAGATTTATGGGTATGGCTTTCATGGGTTTACTATGGGAACTGTGATGGATTTCAGTCCCCAGGGTATTTTAGCAGGTGTGATGCTGAAGCTATCGACAAGGCAGATCATCTGAGTGGATGATGGGGTTACTTCGCAGAGGACCTGCCATTCCGAGGGTTACCTCTTTGGCAGCTGGATCTGGGGAGACCTGGAGGTCTTGGGAAAAGAGCCAGGGCAGGGCTGTTCATTATCTGGGGCAGAGACACTTTTCATATCTTAGGAACTGGTAAGGTTACATTGGTTTCTGCCAGCAGGATTGTCATTTATGTTTAAACACGAGCACCCTCAGTTCTGAGGGTCAGACCAGCACCATCGGCCTGGAGTAACAAGTATGGAGTGACTGGTCACGTGCAGGTGGCCTGGACAGGTTGAACCCAAGAGGGAGACTACATGATGTCTGAGCTCAGGCCCGGGACTGGAAACACTGTCCTTATCTCCAAGAAAGCAAAGAGATGTCCCCACCCCAGGCAGGTGTGGCAGCGCAGCGACTCACAGCAGGCGCACAGGGGGCAGCCCCTTGGGGAGAGTGAGGGGGGGAGAGGGTCATCCTCACGAGCACAGGCATTTCGTCGTCCGACATCGAGCTGGCTGGCTTGTCTCTGGCCGAAGGGGTGGCAGCGATGCTGTCGGTGAACCCCTGAGAGCTGGGCTTGGGTGGGAGAAGCTTGACAGGGACAGACACGGGCATGACCATAGGCGTGAGGCGCTCTGCCTCAGGAGGGAGCGGTGGCGGCGGAGGCGGAGGTGGCAGTGGCGGCTGGGGCTGAGGCTGAGGCTGAGGCGGTGGTGGGGCCTTCTCTCCTTCCTCCTACACAGACAATAAACGCTTTGATCCCAGGCTGAAAGCTCTCCCAAGGGGGATACACTTGCTTTTCCTTAGATTTTCCAGGCCATCAGTGGTGGGAACAGAGTACCACATCTGGGAGGGGGGGTTCCTTCCTCTAACTCTGGGTTCCTGGGCTACATTTAAGGTATCATTTCTATATGAAAATATTTGTTAAAAGTTGGTGGCTTTCATGGCTGTTCGAAGTAAAGAACAGGGACTGCTATTCAGCCAAAACTGAGCATGTGATCAAATTTAGGAGCTTTCCATTCGTTGGGCCTCATTTTACTCTGGCATCTCATGGAAGCAGTCATTGATGCCTGATTTTATGCAGCTGGGGAACCACACTGAGAATGCAAAAACATGGTATGGTTTATTTGTTTCCTGAAGACAGGGTCTCTATAGGTAGTGCAAACTGGCCTCGAACTCAGGACGGTCCTGCCTCAGCCTCCCTCCCTCCTGAGTGCTGGTATTATAGGTATGTAATGCCACACCAGGATTACAGCACACTTCCCTTTGCTGTTTTTGAGGCAGGATCTTGCTCTATGGTCCTGGCTATTTAAAGTGCTACACAAACCAGGTTGGCTTCCAACCTGCAGTGACCCTTTTGAGCACGGGAATTACACGGGCATGAGCTGTGACCAGCTTGGCAACACACTTTAAAAAGGGAAGACAAACTCTTTTATCTGGCACAGCCAGGAAACGGAGATGGGAGAGTGAATCTCATAAAAATCAATACTCAAAGACATTCCCTAAAGTTCTGCGAGTTCTAACCTAACCCAAAGATAACGTCCTACCTGACTGGCCCCCTGGTTACCAAGGGCACCACAGGATCACTGGACCCCACTTTTAGTCAGCCATTACATGCATGAACAGAAAATTCTGGCCAAGCTCTTGAGAGCTACATGCTTTTTCTTAGCTATGTGGTTATGGTCTTGAGTGCTTCAAGTAGTATGCTTTAGATTTACATACTTATATACCCTGCATTTATATATTTATATACTGTTCGCTTACATAGTTCCTTCTGCACCCTTCTCTAGGAAAAGGGAAGGTTTTCCTGAACGAGAATCCCAGTAGCCTTATTTTGACATGACCCTTGTCTATAAAGCCAGGGAGTGGGGACTGTGTGGTTTGGTCGGGTCCCAGAGATGTCCGTGCCTCCCCCAGCGCCCACAAAAGGCACACACTCCCCCATCTCAGGCTGACAGCAGCAAAGCAAAAGCAAGCAGCATATGACCTGCAAAGGAGGGGGCAGGCTTTTGCTGACCTGTTTGAGGCTGGGGGAGGCCCTCATTCCCCCGTGGGACCGCATGTGGCCATTCAGGGCAGGCAGGCTTTTGAACTCCTTCAGGCAGATGGAGCAAGTGAGCTTGTTCTTGGCATCCAACTGTTCTCCAAACGCTCCTTTGGTTTGGCCACTGCTGACGGGTAGGGCCACATGGAAAGGACACATACATTGAGGACAGGAAACACGAATTTATCACAAGGCCTCATAACCACAGTGCACCCATTTTATTTACCTAATCTACCACTGTCCATTAATACGCTACAGAGAACCAAGACCATTGTACAAATGGAAAAACGGAGGCTCAGAGGAGCAGGGACATTCTTTCTTTAAGAAAGTAAAATTTTAAATTAGATTTATAGTGTGTGTGTGTGTACACATGCATATGTACGCCATTGTGCCTGTATGGAGGACAACTTGGAGTCAGTTCTTTCCTTTCAAAATTATATATATATATGCACATATATATGCATACACATACATATATGCATGCTGGGTGTGCCAGGTATCTGGGGAGACCAGAAGAGGGCACCAGATCCCCTAAAGCTGGAGTTGTAGGCAGCTGTGAGCCACCTCATGTGGGTTCTGGGGCGCCAACTCTGGTTTGCTGCAACACGAGCAGGTTCTCTTTACTGCTAATCCATCTCCCCAGTAGAAAGGGCTTTCTTAAAATCATGTCATACAGGACACAGCCTCCATCCTTCCAGGCACTGGGGCTTTCTCATCCTCAGCTTTCAATGCCCACCCACCACGGCCAGGGGAGAAGGGAGTCAGTCTGTACTCTTTGCTGCCACACCCTAAAGCCCAGCACCAAGGCTGGTACCCAGAAGTTCTCACTGATGGAGGACAGAGCACAGGCTTGGGAGCCAAGCCCACCACTGCTCCCTGCTCTAGACGTACCTTCAGCTACGAAGCCCGCTTCCCCGTTTCTAAAAGGAGAATGGCGGTAGCTGACGATAATGAGGACTTAGAACTGACAGGCTCCCGACAGCCATGTCTGCCTCACTGGTATTTTACTTTACATAACACACAGGTTAAGCACAGTTAAGTGCTCAAACACAGCTGCAACCTGCTGCTCCATACTTTCCTGGAGACCCTGGCTTTGAATTTAGAAATGGGTCATTTAAGCAACCCAGAAAACCCACAGCCTCTCAGATGTCCCAGCCCTTTGAGCGTACCTTGACTCCGGGGACCCTGGCTGGGTTCTCCCTTCAGGTAGGTGCATCTAATTTTGAGAAAACAAGAAGAGAAACATAAACATGTATTTCTAAAGGGAGGAATCTCAAGATTCCTGTCTACCCTTGTAGAACTTTCTCTGCTCATGATGACCCTGCGCATCCACTCATGTCTTGGTTGTGCATCTGATTTCTTTTCTGCTCCCTAACAAGGACACGGCTTCACCCTCACAGCTGACGGCAGCCCCAGCCTGCCCCGACACAGCCTCCTCTACTCTCCTTACTCTGTTTGCATCCTCTCTGAACTATCAGGGTCTATCCCCACAAAGGACAGAGAAGAAATGGGCTGCACAGCATCATTCCGGGAGACCAGACAGAATAAGGCAAATCTTCGTGTATCTGTAGACATGTGTGTGAGAGATGGCGAGGGAGCACACATGTGTACAGTGTTTGTGCAGAGGTCAGATGACAATCTGTGTCTTGGGGAATACCCCAAGGGCAGAGATCCCATGGGGGTGAGAAGTTCCCAATGTGGTCCCCTTGTCTCTGATCTAGATACTGTGCACGTGTTTGCATGTGTTCAGATATGCACATGTGGAGGGACGCGGTCAGCTTTGGCTGTTGCTCTCCAGGTACTGTCCACACTTATTTATCATGTGTGTGTATATGTGTGCCGCAGTATGTGTGTGGAGGTCAAAACACAACTTTTTTGGGGGTCAGTACTCTCCTTTGTCCATTTGTATCCTGGGGATGGGACTCAGTGGGTATGGCAGCAAGTACCTTTACCCACTGAGCCACCAGAACAGCCCAACTTGTTATTTCTGAGACAGGGCTTCTTACTGGCTTGAACTTTATAAGTAAGCTATGCTAGGTGGTCAGTGAGCCCCAGGGGTCCTCTGGTCTCTGCCTCCCGGGGTTGGGATTGTGAGCACATGTCGCCAAGCTCTCCCCTGTACCCCGTGATTGACCTGAGCCACCCCCTAGCCCCAGACTCTAGGTCTCAATCATTACGGCAACCGTTTAGGACAATATTTTGGCCTTAGTGAGATGACAAACCCCCCCCAGGGTCAAGGACTAAATCCACTTTGATTTTGTATTCCAAGTGCCTGGCGCAGATAGTACCTGGCTAACACTTGTGAAATGTATAGAGTGGAAAGGATGAAGAGTGGAGAGAGCACTGGGCATTGCCCAGACTCACGGCTGGCAGAGCCTGTTCCCACGCAGACATGGGGAGATACCTGGGGCCACATCGCACTGGGAGACGGCTGCTGATGGGGAAGTCCCATGTTGTTGAGGTGGATACCACTGGGGGACAGGAGCGGTTGGTGAGGAAGGGTACTGCTGACTCGGGTCATTTCTGAGCTTGCTGGGTCTGCCACCCCTGTATCAGGAGGCCCCATGTCCCCATGGGAGCTCAGCATAGCCGGAGTCTGCCTGTCACTAGAATATGTCTTCAACTGGCTGTCTTCACGCTGCTGGTGCTGGGACAGGTGGCTCTGCTGGTAGAGGGGGTGGCTATAGGGTTGTTGAGGCTCCTGGTAGTAATACTGGGGCATGGAGCCCAGCTGGATCAGCTGGACAGCGTGGGCCTGCTCCGGGGTATACTGATGAGGGTCCCTGTGATAGGAAGGGGGCTGCAGGTGCATCGGGGGCTGCTGCTGCTCTTGCAAGTGTTGCATCATGGGTTGGGGCTGATAATACTGAGGTATCTGCAGCGGCCCCTGCCGCTGCTGCAGCTGGAGCTGCTGCTGCTGCTGCTGCTGAGGCTGTGAGGGGCGAATCGGCTGCTGCGGTTGCTGCTGCATTTCTTGCATGGAGATCCGCTGCAGCCCGGCTTGCTGCTGCTGAGGAGGCGGTGGCTGTGGGTAATACTGGTGCTGCTGCATTGGTTGCATATGGCCGGACAGCACCTGAGGGGCTTGCAGCGGCTGCCCTCCTTGCATTGACATCTGGGCCAGGGGCTGCTGGTAGTCATAATACAGGTGCCCTTGGGGAGTGTGCTGCCCGACCGGAAGGGCTGGTTTGGGCAGTCCACCTGTGAAGCCAGGATGCGGCTGCTGGGGCACCTGCTGGTAGCGGGAAGCTATAGCGGATGCTGAGGGCTCCACGGGCTTCTGGGATAGCAGCTGGCGAAGGGCACTGTCGGGGGTTCCATCCATCACTGCTGACTGAGTGTGCAGAACCTGGGCCATATTGTTGACCTGAATTCGCAGGTTTTGGTTGGCAAACACCTGGGTGAAAGAGTCCAGCTTGTGTAAAACACCGCTGGTGAGTTTCTGGGTCCGGATCTCACTGGCCTGGGAATAAGTGTATTGGTAGCCGTCAGTGGGCTCTACCTGGCCCGGTGTTCCCCACATCATGTTTGAGTTGGCCAAGTTGCTACGAAGCTGGACGTGGTTCCCAGGCCCTGCATGGCTCCCCCAGCCTCCTTGCCTGGAGGTATCCATTTGGCCAAGGTTTTTGGAGCCAATCGGCAAGCCCAAACTATCCCTAGTATCTTGAGGGAAGTGAGGAGAGATGGGCGAGGCCTGCGGGGCATCCATTCCAGCCCCTGAGATCGTATTCCCATAGCTGTGGTTCAGCCCGCTGTGAACACCAAGGGGTGGCTGTTGATAGAAGAGGTTCTCACCCCCGTGAGCCACGTGGTTGGTCTTGTACAGCTGCTGGTCCCCCATGATGTCCTCCTTGGTTATGAATGTTCAGCCACAAAATACAAATAAAAATAAAATAAAATAAAAGGGAATGAAGAAAATAAAAAAATCCTGAAACCCTGAGAAGATGAGAGAAAGTGTCCACCCTACTCCACGGCTGACATGTCTGTGAGGGTGGCTGGAGGCAGGGGCTCGCGTCGGCTCGAACCACTCATTTGCAGAGCTGAGATGTCTACATCCTCCCTCCGGTTGAGGTATGGACCAGACACCACCGTGGCGGGGAAATGCCGTTCACACCTGGAAGACAGGACGCGAAGGACAAAATTATTTCCCTGGATGCGTCTTAACAAGCCATTGCATATGTTGTGATTATTCATAAGAGGAGAGCGCAGGGAGGGCTAGCAGCAATGGCCAGCAGGGTAAGGCTCTTGCTGCTGAGCCTGAGTTCAAATCCAGGGGGCACATGGTGGGAGGGGGGAACTGGTATTGTGGTGCCATGGTATGTGTGGTGTGTATGTATACTCACATATAGGGAGTGTAAGGGTCCGAGTACGTGCAGATCAGAGGACACCGGATGTCCTGCTCAACCACCTCCCACCTTATTTACTCCGAGGTCTCTCAATGAGAGACCTAGTGGCCAGCAAGCCCCAGCAATCCTCCTCCCTATACAACCCCCAGAGCTGAGCTACAGCCGGATAGCCACACCCAGCTTTTTATACGGGTGCTGGAGATTTTAACCCAGGTCGTCACGTTTGTGCAGCAAGGGAGCCACCTTCCAAGCCCTCCCCTTCGACCCCAGTTCTTCAGTCACTTTCAAACTGGGCCAGGAACCTCCGTGAGCACACCCCAGATGCTAAGAGGGATATTCTCAGATTCCTGAACTCCTGCAGGAGCCCTCTTCTAGAACTGAGGGATAAGAGAGGTACAGGTGGTTCTTCCCGTTTGCCCGTTTACAAAAAGGTTAACTCTCATCTGCTCCATCACAGCTGTCAAGTGGATTCCTCATTCATGCATTCATTCATTCATTCATTCATTGTGTGTGTGCGTTCGAGCATTAAAGTGTGAGCACTAAAGTAACCCTGTGGATATGGAAGTCAGCTCTCTCTTCCCACATTGTGGGTTCTGGGAACCAAACTTGGATCATCAGGCTTGGCAGCGAGCCTGCTACACCTGCTACACCTCATCGACTCTCTCTTTTGTTAAAGGGCAAGCCCCGTTCTTGCAGAAGAACCTGAGTTCAGTTGCCAGCACCCAAGGCAGGAAGTTTACAGCCTCCTGTAGCTCCATCTCCAGGGGAAGCTGAAGCCCTTTCCTGACTTCCTAGAGCATTTGCACACACGAACACACATGTAAACACATACAAAAAATAAATTTTAAAAAAGAAAAAATTCCCAAGGGAATTTCTATGTCTCTAGAAAGTTGTCTTCCGACCCCAACACCCAGGCCATGGCATGCACAGCCAAACACATTCACACGATAACAGATAAGATCGAAAGAAGTCATAAGACAAATAATTGGATACACATTGGGTGATAGGTCACAGTGTGATTTTTGGTATAGCATTCAGAAGCAGATCAAAGAATTGAGCAGCCCTGCTTAAACACATGTACTTACCAAGATGGTCTGAGGCTCAGTGGTCATGTGCACCACACACAGTGAACAGCAATGACATTTGTTTGTTTGTTCGTTTGTTTGTTTATTCCCTCACTTTTTGGGGTGTGGGAATTTGAGGCGGGGTTTTCTCTATGTAGCTCTGTAGACCAGGCTGGCCTTGAACTCACAGAGATCCTCCTGCCTCTGCCTCCTGAGTGCTGGGATTAAAGGTGTGTGCCACCACCGTCAGGTTTATTCCCTCATTTTAAAATTTATGCGTGTGTGTGTGTGTGTGTGTGTGTGAATTTATGTGCATCATATGTACAGTGCCTGCTGTCGCCAGGGAGCACTGGGCCCAAGGAGCTAAAGATAAGAGAGACAGAGACAGACACAGAGACAGAGACACAACACGGTGCTGAGAACTGAAGCTGGGTTCCCTGGAAGAGCAGTGAGTGCTTTTAACCACAGTCATCTCTGCAGCCCTGAGGTTTTCCTTGATTGTTTTGTTTTTTAAGCTAAAACCCATGTTCCTCCTATCAAGTATGAACAATGGCTTTCTGTGCGTATGCCTGGATAGATGGAAAATACCGGCCCTGCTCTCACACTAGCAATAAATAATCCTCTTAGACATTTATGTGTGCATGTGTTTCTGCACACATGGATGTGGGTGTTCATGGAAGCCAGAAGGTCTCACATGCCCTGGAGCTGGAGTGATGGGTGTTATCAGTCCTCCAGCATGGATGCTGGGGACTGGACTAATTTTCTGAAGAGCAGGAAGTGCTCTTGACTATTGAGCTGTCTTTCCATGGTTTCATGCAGCCCAGGCTGGCCTAGAGCTTGCCTTGGAGCTGAGGATGGCCTTTAGTTTCTCATCCTCTTGACTCTACCTCCTAAGTACTGGGATTACAGGACCAGGGACTCCTGCCCTGTACAGTGTTGGTGATCAAACCGAGGACCTGATGCACACGAGGGAAGCTCCAGCCCAGAGGAAAGTTCACTTTTAAAAAGGCATTCAGTACCACTGTACATTTCCAACATAATTTTACTTTTCCTATTTATCATTTATCCTTTTGCTACACATTTATGTGGTTTGATCAATCGTATACCATTAAAAATTATAACTCAAACCAGAAGAAACTTTCAATATAGCTTCATGATTCAGGAAATGAACATTTTCAACTTTATGTAAAGTTGCTACAGACGAATAGGATGGGACACAGACCAAAGGGCTTTAAACCTAAAAACATATCACATATAAAATTCCTGGAGGAAGTGAAATACAAATAAGATTTCAAGGGAAAATGAAGGACGCCGTGTGTGTATATACATTTTTAAATGAGTAATGGGCGGATACTGGAAGGCTAGGGTGTTTAGATTCCATGGGATAAATTTAAAAGTGATGTCATAGTTTCACTTAAGAATATCAATATTTATACTACGCTGGAAATCACATCTGCAAGCATGATAAAAACTGTGGACATAAACTTGACCATGAGCGAGGGGGTAAAGAGTTCCACAAAACACTAAGTTGGGTGTGGTGACACATGCTTGTAATTCCAGGGCTCAGAGGCAGGAGAATCAGGAGGCGTTGAAGGCCACTCTTGGCTACGTGAGCTCCTGTCTCAAGAAAACCTAAGGAAAAAGGAGTTTTACAAACTCAGTTTAGGGAGGAATTTCCAGGCCTGACCCTGAATTTGAGGAGGTATGAAAAGCGAAGGTGGTCACTGAAGGCTTCTCAGCAGATTCACCAGGGTGCAGGTTCGAAGCTTACAACCAGGCTCTTGCCCAGATCCACTGCGATGGTGAGTTTTAACTGTCAACTTGACACAACCCAGAGTTACCTGGGGAGAGAGCGTCGGTGAGGGGTTGTCTGCATTGGGCTGGCTGTGGGCGTGTCGATGGAGGACTGCCTTAATTAACTGATAACTGCCCACTGTAGGCAGCACCATCCCTTAGGCACGGGCTCCTGAACTGCATAAGGGGAATGTGGCACAACACGTGAGCACATGTGTTCTTGCCCGTTGACGTGACGTGACCAGCTGTCACATTAGGCTCCTGCCACTGCACTGTGGTCCCCAAAGTGATGGGCTGTGACCTGGAGTTGTGACCTAAAATAAACAATTTTCTTCTCAAAGTTGCTCATTTTCCCCTTTGTTTTTATTTTATGTGTATGAGTGTTTTCCCTGTGTGCAAGTCTGGGCACCATGCGTGAGGTGCCTGTAGAGGCCAGAAGACGGCACTGGATCCCTTGGGGCTGGAGTTACAGATGGTTGAGAGCAGCCAAGTGGGTGCTAGGAATAGAACCCAGGTCCTCTGGAAGGGCAGCCAGTGTGATTAACCATGGAGTCACCTCTCCAGCCTCTGTGACTTGCTTATCGTCAGGGTATTTGATCAGAGAAGCAGAAATTAAACTAGGGCACGTCCCCAAGCAGAAACTGCATTTTATCAAGGACTCTGACCAGTGCACACATCAGCCAGCAAGCGCTGACCTAGCTGCATTCGGGTGAAGACTTGAACCCACAGTGAGAGTGTGCATGGAGAGGGAGAGACAGGAGACTTCTGTAATGTCCTGTCCTGAGAGCCTGGTGTGCCAATCTGAGGAGACACTATCTCTCCCCTGGCAGTCATACCTGCCCCAGATCAGCCACAGACTCCACCTACTGCTGTCAAGTTCAAAGCAACTCAATCTCATCTGTCACAGACTGGCTGACCCTTTCAAAGTGTCCTTTACATTAAACCCGGCATGCTCTGTCTCATAACGGGACCTTGGGACACGCTATTCCCCATATTCCTCTCCCCAGCCGTCTCCCACTAGCCACATGCTAGGTCACTTCCAGCTCTCAGTTCAAACCAGACATCCAGCTGACCCCACAGCTGTGTATGAGTATGTGAACACGTGTCTGTGTGTGTTCCCATGGAGGCCAGAAGAGGGGCAGCAGATCTTCTAGCAGGGTGCTGGGAACCAAACTTAGGTCCTCTGGAAGGACAGCCAGAGCTCTTAATGACTGAGCCCTTCTCCAGCCCTTAGGTTGCTTACTTATATTTTGTCATAAAACTGTATTCCTCCATAGTGCCTCTCCTCCCTTAACCAATTCCACACCTCACCAGCGTCTCCTAATCATTAGCTGTTTGTTTTATAAGATAGGGTCTCATGGAGCCAGGTTAGCCTTGAACTCATAATGTCCTTGAACTTCTGATCCTGCTGCTACCAAGTCTGGTTTATGCAGTGTTGGAGAATCAAACTCAGGGCTTCATTCATACAAGAAAAGCAGCCTACTTACTGCCTGAGCTACATCCCCAGCCGCCCTTAACACGCTCTTTAAGAAATGACCTATTTGGAGCCGAAAGGATGGCTCCGCAGTTAAGACTGGCAAACAGCCCACATCAAGTGGCTCACAACCACCTGTAACGGCAGCTGCAGTGGCGTCGGCAGCCCCCGGCTTCCACGGGCACTTGCATTCACTCTGCTCATACACCCACACACCGGCACACACGTAATTAAAAATGAAAATGTTAACTGTGGTGTGTGCGTGCGTGTGGTGTGAAGACGTCACAGTGTTTGGGAAACAACTTTGCGGAGTCTTCCCCCACCTTTGTGAGCATTCTGGGCATCGAACCCGGGTCATCAGGCTTGTACAGCAAGCTCTTTACCATATGAACCATCTGCCGCCCTTAATACTTTCTTAATTCCGTCTCCACTTCTC